CAAACACTTTCTTCTCATCATCACTCGACTGACAGTCAACCGTAATAGGAACAGTTACAGTTGCACAACCTTGTGCATCTTCAATCAACTTAACCTTCGTGACGAGGTCCGATGGCGTCGAAACACTAGGAGGCTCATTCGATGAAGTGGATAAACTAGTCCCTATAAGTGAACTGCTGACACTTTCTATATCCTTATTATCACTGTCACTACTGAGGTTCTGATGGCTACTATTTCTATGGCTAGTCGTAGCATCCGAAAGAGCATGAGGTTCAGGCTTCTTAGTAATAGTAGCATCATGTCTCCTAGGCTTCTTAGCCGTTACTGTACCACCATCACTTATCCTAGAATCTACTCTAGGTCCAGTTATATAATTTACCCTAACTGAAGGGTTCCGAAAATAAGCTTTATTCCGTTCAGTCAATCCTGCCTGGGCCTTATTCATATTTGCTGAACTCATTAACCTCTGATTACTCGAATCCAAATAACCGTTCCAGGCTTTTCGAGCAGCTAAGAGGCTTTTATCATCACACACTTCGGATCCATCTTGATGCCTACACTTTTCGCCTTTTTCTTTCTTTTCTACACTTAGAAAAGCCATCTTATCTGTTACACCATCCGGCTTCTTACTAGGACACGCATCAAGAGGCTTTACATCGTTACGGTCACGTACTCGTCCTTCATCAGCGTATGCTTTCGTGATATAATTGACAATTCTCTTATCTTCCGAGCGTGCTTTAGGTAGAAACGAAAAATCCGAATGTCTCGCACGCAGACCACTAGTAGCTTCCGTATTATTTCCTGTTTTAGCCTGATAAGCTAATCTTCCAAACCTACTACTAGCTATCTTAGCACGAGACATAATAAATTCCGTCAATTCGTTAAAATTGGGCTCTCTCTCCTCTTCGTCCCACTTGAATACTAGCTCTGCCCACTGGGCTTGCATTCGACGAGGTAAGAGCCTTACTATTCGTTCTAAAGTAGCCATAGAGTTAAGTTCAGCTGTACAATTTAACTGTTCTGAAGTTAAAGAAGCATTCTGCATTTTAATGGCCAAGTTCGTCAATGATTCAGGATCATTAAATTCTACATTCCCAGTTCTAAATAAGTCCTCTAAGGTTTCTCGCGCTATTACATGCGATTGTCCAAAGAGCTGTTTTAGAATGGCCTTAGCTCTCTTATATCCTGATTGTGGATCCATAATAATACAGCCTTCAATCGCATTTTTTGCTTTTCCCTTACAATAATGAATTAAATACAATAAACGCACTTGATCATCCTTGATTCGAGGTTCTATAAACGATTCTATCTGTCGTATGAACTTAAAATAGTCGCGAGACCTTCCATCAAAATATGAGAGTTCAACCTTAGGTAATTCTAAACCCTCTATCGATGACTTACAATAATAAATATCAGACATAACATGTGGGTTACCCATAAAAAGGTTATCACTAACGACTTGCCTAGAGCCTTGTGATCCGTCGAGCTCTTCCACCGTCCTCATGTGTGATTTTTTTCGGTTTGACATCATAAATAAAGTTCAATAAAGACGGTAACGAATACAAAATAGAGTAAATCCAAAATTCAGTTCAAAATTAATGATAAGTAGTTCCAATTTCTTCCTCCAAGGAAGTCTAGTATGATAAACGATTAAAATTCCAAATGTTTCCTTGTAATTCTTAATAATCCAAATAGATCCAAATTATATGCGTTCTGGTAAATATTTCCAAGTATAATTCACGCAAGAAGAGCAAATACCAGACTGTAGAATTATTTCGCCGGTGGCTGTCCTAATCGCGTCCAATAGAAACACTCCGGTACGTTACTCCTAGATCCAGGTTCCAGCCAAATTAGAAGGTCAAATTTTCTAGGAGAAAACGTCTCTATATTGTTATAAAATGGAAATACAGAGGCTTACGGTATTTTTGTTTCTTCCAGGACTAAATTACTCCGTAGAGTATCTATTACAATAGCTAGTAAGTGACACTAAGTCCAGCAGCCACCGCGTCTATCCAAAAATGTGGCGGTAGCCATATTATATCAAATTTAAACAATATATGTACAGTTCAGAAGCAAACACAAAAACTTCAATATAAGTACAAAATATAGAAAGAATAACAATATACAATGATAAAATCTCAAATTAGAATCAAATAAAATACCAAAAATGTCAACAGAAAAAGTCCGTCATGTCATAGCAAAAATATGTAAACATGGAGGGATTTTCCAAAACACAAAACATTCAAAAAGAATTCTACATTTACTACTAATAAAGCAATTTGTACCACTTGTGTTGAAGCGACGCCAGCATGAATCTGTCACGTTGGTTATTCAGCTACCCTGTAGTCTATTATCTCTGAAGTAACTGCATATACAAATAGCCATTCCTCCCTCTATCTGGTGTACCCTATCGCATCGAAATTGTGTCATGCCCTGCAAGCTCATTTAATCGTCTGCAATATCGGAGATAGCCATGTGTCACTTAGCAATATGATCTTCAAGTCCATCCGAGAGCACATATTCCTGATTTCTAACAGCTTGTACCTTAGTCCTCTTACGTTGCTATTAAGGCATTTGGTGGTTTGTGTAAATGTATTTCTACAGTGGCCGTCCCAATTGGTTCCAATAGAGGCACTCCTGTACGCTTTTCCCAGTCCCGGGTCCCAACCAATTCAAAAAGGACAAAATTCTAGGAGAAAGCGTCTCTGTATTAGTTAAAAAATGGAAATACAAAGCATTACGGAAATAGTGCTTCTTCCAGGGTAAAGTTACTCCGCAGAGTATCGGACACAATAACAAATAAGTGACGCTAAGTCCAGCGGCCACTGCGTCCGTCCAAAAATGTGGCGGTAGCCATATTATATCAAATTTAAACAACATATGTACAGTTCAGAAGCAAACACAAAAACTTCAATATAAGTACAAAATATAGAAAGAATAACAATATACAATGATAAAATCTCAAATTGGAATCAAATAAAATACCAAAATGTCAACAGAAAAAGTCCGTCATGTCATAGCAAAAATATGTAAACATGGAGGGATTTTCCAAAAAACAAAACATTCAAAAAGGATTCTACAGTTTGTATCATCAACTTGTTCACTTCTGCAGCAACAGCCCTTGTCGGAATTTCTAACACGGTGTTCAAAATGAGTTGGCCAAGTCTGTGGGAACTGGTCTCTTTAGGGTTTTGCTTGTGTATTACATTCAATTGGAGAGACCATGATATACATGTTTTTTCCATGAGTTGCTGTTATTGTTTCACAGATCCGAGTTCAGTCTCTCAACATCTAATGTGGCTAGAGATACCATTCCTCATGCTGTACTAATCTTGAAGTGCCTCACTTAGGAAGTCCCGTTCTCTGAATCCTCAGCAATCATATGTGGAAAATTAATGGTCGTGAGACGTGAACGACGAGGCAGCAGACTAAAGCTAATTGTCACGGTGGTATGAGGATTCATGCTACGTGATAACTATCGTCATTGTTGAACGTTATGTGCATGAGCTTTATCGAAGCTACTATTAAGCAGCTCAGGCACGCCGTGAATTACCATGTTTGTCTGCTCTGCTTTTCAGCAAGCCACACCCCGTCGTTGGAGCACATTGTGAGCTGTGCTGTTTCCACTTCCCCTTGTTATACTCACCAACTGTTCACATACAAACCGCAGCTTCGTCCATTTACTGACTCGAGTTATGGCTACCTTAGTCGCTTGCTTAGTTGGTTTCGTACTGGGCAGACCCAGTTTACCTGTAGGGGTTTGTACGTTAATTATCGGTGGGCCCTGTGGCATTTCTAATGCTATTTTTGTCTCAGCAATTCTGCACTATTGAAAAATATTCTGTAACCACTGACACAGGTGAGTCAGAATAAAAGCGTAGTACTCCCCAGGTTCTGCAGTGTCACAGTGACAATGCACACATGCACTACTGAGGTTACATTCAAATGCAGAGTCGCTGGTTTGAACTGGTAACGAGCAGTCATTAAGACCTTTCCTTGTGGGATTTCCGAACCGTAGGTTGTGTTGTTTGAGCATTAGGATGGCTTTTTCTCCTATTTTTATTTTGCCTACTGGTCTTACTAGGAGTAGGAATCCATGTAGTATCATCTTGAATTTTTTGTTGGAGACCGAGTGGAGGTGTTTGGGTCGAGTGATCGGAATTACGAGCATAACTACCGGGTATACTACCGAGTGACGTTCTGAGTTTTCCACATCTCTGTCGCTCATGACTGGGATTTTCGATCTACCACTAACCGCAGGATATGTACCTCGACTCGTTTACTAGTTATTACAGTGTAAGAAGTGACAGTAATGCTATTACTGAACACGTTGCCTAAGCGATTTGAGGACGGAAAACGAGATAAGTTAAGTAGGGAAATACGCAAGATAGGAGTTTTGAAAGAAAAATAATAAAAATACTAAATATAAACTAAGCAAGAATAGAATCTGAAAGTTATCCGAAATTCCAACTTTAACTTTGATCGTTCTGGTAAGCGACTTCTCATGGATGCAGTAACTTATCCACAAGTGAATGAATGTGTTCGTGTGTGGTAATGAAGTAACTACAAGGTAAGCAGTTGACCGAGATAGCTAGACCTACCGCACAGGGGTTCTGTCTTGGAATGGTTCCGTTCGTCCGAATGGTTACTCAGACTGTCTATCGATAAGTGGAGACAAACTTCAAATTTTGGGAAGTGATTGAATGTCTTAATCTGGTGTCTAAAACTGGATTATTTCCTGTTAATGGTGGGAAATCAACGAGGACAAGTTTATTTCGTAGCGCGCGCAAACCTTACAGCTTCAGACGCAACGATAACCACAGCCGTACCTTTCTGTAATGAATAAGTATCCCAAATCACTTATACAAATGTCCTAAGTAAAAATAATTTCCTAATTCTGATAAGCAAAAGTTACGGTGTAAAATTCGTTTTTATCCGTCACTGACTTAGGTCGTCTGCATCGACCTACTGCATCCAAGCCGCCTATTTCGCTTCTGGTCATGACTATGGTAAAAGCAGCCTCAAAGAAGGGACGTAAAACATTGTCTCACCAAGGTGACCCAATAATCAAAGATGGAGTAGTTAAACTTAGGGGTTTGTTGCTATCTAAATTTTGATGTTTTTAGAAAAGCTAACAAGAAGACAAAAACAAAGACTTCAGAAACGTATATTGAAATCTGATAAGCATATTGGGAATAAAACTCATTCCAAGGTATTTTTCTCAGACACCCTTCTCATCATTAGGTTGAAATACCATCTGACAGTCTTTTAGCGACTAAAAGTGGTTTTCTTGAAAATGATATTAATGAACTCATAACTGATGACTTCGGACGTTTATCGGATTTGGAAGATGAAGATATGGAAACAAATACGAATCCTGTTGAAGCCGTAGATGAAAAGGAAGATATGATAACTAACCTTACTTCCGAAGATGCAGCTGATAAATCTGTTATGGATTCCAGTACTTTAAACCAGCGTATTCGAAACTGGCTTCATATCCTCGCCGATTTTAAAAACAGAGCACCAGCTGGCCTTGATAGGAGTCTATGTGTTCGAACTCTGATAAGCGATCTGTGTTCTCGTTATTCATACAACCAGTTTCTCATGCTGAAACTTCTTGATCTGTTCCCTAAAGAGGTAAGAAATATTGGAGCTTGAATTTAGTCTTAGATCGTTGAGGTTTTAGAAGCTAATGAAGTTGACAGACCGGTGACCATACGCACAAATACGTTAAAAACCCGTCGCAGGGAATTGGCTCAGGCAAGCCCTCTTCATTTAATTGATTAGATAGGCTTTAATAAATCGTGGTGTAAACCTTGATCCCTTGGAACCTTGGAGCAAAGTTGGACTTGTTGTCTACTCTTCACAAGTACCATTAGGTGCAACACCAGAATATCTTGCTGGTCACTATATACTTCAGGGAGCTAGTTCTATGCTTCCTGTAATGGCCTTATCTCCTCAGTCAGGCGAGCGAATCTTGGATTTATGTGCTGCACCTGGGGGAAAAACCACTTATATAGGCAAGTTTGAAAGTCTCATCGCTAAGCTAATATGTTATTATGATTGCATCTCTCGAGTACTACATATTTTTGTTGTGAGATAGTTACCAGAAACTATTACATCAAACTAGTTCCCGTTGTTTTGCGTAAACCCGATTCTTAAGAAAACTTCTATATCACCAGTCTCGAGAAATATATGCTGTATCTCCCGAGATTTTTGTGAATTTTAAATCCTCCGGGACTAAAGTTAACTGTCACACTACACGCGAGTCATGCTCTCCATATACTAATAATTCCTCAGAGCTTACCTATCTATTTAAAGTAAATAAAAATCTTTACTTTCACGCAGGTCAATTTAAACTTTTCATGGCGAAACCACTGACCTGTTTGCGCCTTGAGATGCGTTTGGGTAGTTAAGGCGTCACATTAAGTTAATAATATTAGTGATCAGGGAGTAACACTTAGTGTAATCTCAACCTAGTTAACCCTCGTGCCTTCGGGTCGATTTAGCCGGTATAATCTCTTTAGCTCTGAGTAGGTAGTTCCGTAACTTACTGATCGAAACAGCTGAAAAGTGTGCACGAATATAGTATGAAACATGCTTAGGGCGGTGTGTAGAAAAACAATTGATTTTAACTATGAAAATGCAGATTTTCGGTGACTTAAAGTCCCATTACTTAAAAGCTAAGTTAACTGAAGCCGAAAATTACAAAATGTTTATCCGCATAAGATATTCACAGTCCTTAGTACTTAAGTGTCGTATTAATTAATGAAATATACCACACTTACGTGACCAATGCAGTTCAACCATGTCAGGTATAGACAGTAACTACCGAACCCAAATGGGCGAGGTCGCGAAAAATCTCTAGATTGATCAGAGTTAGACACTAACACCGTTGGGTGCCGACCAAGTGATCTACAGATTAGGCGTTCACATGCAGGACTAAAGGTCCTGAGTTCGAATCCTGCCAGGTGCAGGAGTCATGGATACGCACTGCTGATGAGTCCCATACCAGGACGAAACGGCCGTCCAGTGCTTCCAGGTTTCTAATGATGATTAAGTGATGATTTCAATGTGTAAAAATACTTACGAAAATTGATTTCCTTGTTTATCTTTTTTGAAGATCGTTGCGTAGACCTTTCGTCAGTCTGTATCAACATTACCTTTAATCCTCATCGTAGTTAAAGCCTGGCGTGACAGATTTTCGAGCATTTATCCATTTGGTCGGTGCCACTATAGTTTACAGGTCATTCCGAATTAGCGATATCACATCTGTTTGGATATCATGTCCAGTTAATGAAAAAAACAGAAATCTCGTAATAAATACGAAGAATTGGTATCGCTAATGTAAGGTTTGTAATTATTTCTTTAGCGGTTATCTGGCACTTAACTACGGTTTGTGAAAAGAAGAATGGAGGGAACTAATTTGATTTCACGCTTGAAAACGAATATGTAGATCAAATATTCTTTCTTCATCAGGCTCTGAAACGTAGACATACCAACGTCCATTTGTGTACATATATATATATATATATTGTGTATATCATAAGCTTTCGGTTGTCCCACAAACTTCTATCACACGGCTTATGATTCGTATTTCTTCACTAGCCTATTCTTTACAGCCACTTTCGGGCCTGTTTGCGTATAATTATTTTAATTTGTGGTATGATATGGTCTGCTGATGTAAAAACTACTTCTATTTGAGAAATATAGTACAGGCTAGTTGCTGATTTATGGATTCGAGGACAGAGCAGAGCAAAGCTACAGAATCAAGAACTAGTAGGAGCTCAGCTACCAACTCAAGATTAGAAGTGCTAAGCGGACGCGTAATTGGTTAAATCAAACTTATTAGTTCGCAAGTGGACTTTTTCATTACTCCGGGAACTGTCGTTACTTCAACTTCGTTAATGTTTGCTTTGATAATTTCACTCTATCGTGTTGTCATGGTGTGACAAATTGAAATGATATACATATTTTCCAGGTTCTGCATTACCTGTAACTGACTGTTACGAATATAACCTAAGTTGGCCATCAGTCAACATATTTACGTATGATTATAGTTGCAATATCTTATTATTCCAATATTAAACCACTGCAGATAAAATCATAAAAAGCCGATGAAATAAGCTCTGTCCATATTCTTGCTTTTCTCATCATATTCTTGTCTAGATTATGATAATCGTCTTCGTTACTATCCAGTTTCTGTATGATGACCTTGTACTAATCATTCTACCATTCATTGTTTGCGTGTAGCACAACTCATGAAAAACACTGGGACCATTTTCGCAAATGAAATAAACCCCAATAGAGCCAAAGCGCTGCTTGGAAATTGTCATCGTATGGGTGTAACAAATACTGTCATTTGCATAGAAAATGGGCGGAAATTTCCAAATATTATGTCGAATTTCGACCGAGTTCTCGTAGATGCACCGTGTTCTGGAACTGGCATAATTGCCAAAGATCCTTCAGTAAAAACCACCAAGAATAATGACGAAATTCAAAAGTGTGTAGAATTACAGAAAAGATTGCTTGTAGCTGCTATTGATTCCTGTAAAGTTGGAGGTTACATAGTTTATTCTACATGCTCCATATTGGTAAGTAACCCTTGAATACCGATGAAAATATTTTCTGATAGGGTTCTGTTAGGATTTTACTAAATCTTTCGTTGTTCGATATTATGACAGTGAAAGGGAAACTCAATGACTAACTTTGTAGTTTGCCATACAGAACGCAAATTAAGAATCACGCAATTAGAGTGGCATGCCACTTTTGCTCCTGTCATCTGCTCACAGACTTTAACTGATGAGTTCGGAAAATAAATCCATGGGTAGTCAGATGAAATAAGCGTCATCAGCGTGTAAGAATACAGGGCTACCAGCTCACTCAAATTTTGATATCTGAGTATCCTGCTTCATCTGTTACGATTTGAGTGTCTGAGTAGCATCATCAACGCAAAATAAAGTATATCATACTTCGCCTCGTCTTTTTCATTCAATACTAACAAATTGTGGATTGAATGTTTTAAAACAACCTATATTACACAACAGAGCCCTAACTTGGAATTTCGGGGCAGTACAATAAAATCTTAAAAATGCCATATTTCCTTACCATGATAGTCAGTCAGCCAGTTGCAACGTAGAACTTTGTACATCAGTTCAGGTTGCCGTACCACATCAGCACATAGACGCAACTATCAATTCAAATCCCATAGTGGTAGCGATAGTAGAAGTATCACCAGTAATAAAGGAGATTAGGGTTCAAAGATATGACTTGAGGACTATAATTCAGTGAGATAACTTTAGAAAGAGAAATATAGGGATGAGGAATTCAGAAGAGTAGGATTTGAGATAACACAATGAATGAATGCACCTACGCCATTGCAAACGATTTTGAGCCATGTCATTCAAGGTCTCTAACCATCGTGACTTTCGTCACGCGGACTCCAACCAGGTAGCCTATATCTTCCAACATGACTCAGTCCACTTGTCAGTGACTTCATGGATTTGTGCCTTTTGGTTTGGCAGCCCCTAGCTTTCTTTAAACCTATTCCTACATCGCAAAACATAGCTCGACAAGGCAGTCGGTGGTTAGGCATACGTAACACATGTTCTAACCAATTCAACTGATAAAGTTTCAACACTTCACCTATCGATTTGCTATCCCTACCTAGTACTCGTTTCTTAATGATAGCATTGCTTACTCGGTTGTCCGAGGATACTCGAGCGATGCTTCTGAGACACCTGTGGAGCGGTCTACACGCCCGATTAGTTTACTCCCTATAACTAGTTCAGGTAGCGATGCAACCCAGTCTTGAAGCAACATTTTGCATTTCGAAGGTGAGAACCGCATCCCGAACATGCTTGCATTGTTTCTTGGGGTCGTCAGAAGACTGCGTTTTGTCAGCGTCTTGACTAAATAGAACTATGTCATCGGCATATTCTAAGTCAACAAGCAAGTCTCCTGATAGAATATTCACTCCTGAGATTTCTTATCACTTTCTCAACTTCATAAAGACTCGGAGGACTTACGTGATACTCTTCTACTGAATCTATTAAGCCAACAATATACCACCGGTTGTCGATGTCATTTCGGTAACCCGCTTCGTACAAGAGTTGCATGGTTCATTACCGTTTTTTGCAGATTAGTAATCATCTACTTTATTTTAAAAAATTTGTTACCGAACGTAAATAGTTTCCATAACCCAAATCAAAGGCTATTTAAATGACAGTACTTAATCACGATACATTTCAGAACGTCAAGTTTGGAAACATTAATAATGCTTAGTAGAATGCAAGTAGATCAGTTAAGAGCCCCTTCGAGTAAGACGAATCGTTACGTAGAATTTAATAAGATTGTGAAGGCGGTTCATCTTAGCTATAGCAAGTGGTACAAAAGCGCCCTAGTACTGCCAAGAGTGGAATAATTTCGCTCTCCCCCTCGAAATTATGTCATATAACCACAGGAGGCTTGATTGGGTTAGCCGACTTGCGTCACTTGTACCACTGGAAAGATATCCATCCGACATCATCTACTAATCAATGCTCAAGTAGGTAGACTATGGGAAAAGAGAAGACACGTGGGTGGATCTTATGGTGTCGTGGCTGTGTAGCTATGCTCAGATAACTGCTATTTCTTGCTAATACTAACCTTAAGCACAAGGAGAAACCATCCACTCTTTTTCTTCTCTCAAGTCCTAATCTTCTGAATTTCTCATCACCATCTTTCTCTTTTTAAGTTTGCCTCACTGAATTATACCTTTTGAATTAGTTCTTCGATCCCTAATCTTTTTGAATATCGCTAATACTTCTACTATCTCTAGCACTGTGGGATTTGAACTGACAATTGCGTCTCTGTTCTAATGTGGTATAGCAACCTGAACTAGTGTACGTACGTACGTTCGAAGTTCTAGGTTGTAACTGACTGACTGGCAAAGGACGAGTGCACTGTGCAGCAGTTCGCTCCGTCCCACTGTACAGGTGCGAAACATGGGCAATAAGAATAAAGGATATTCGTAGGTTACTAGTATTCGGTCATAGGTGTCTTCGAAGCATTGCTTGTATATCCTGGGACTAAGCCTGCTAAGGGACCGCGTAGTCTGGTGGCGAGGGTTTGCTTACGACTTGAAGGCAGCAGCTGCATTCGGCAGCTGTCAAAAGCTGCTTCAAATCGTCGGAACCACTAGCAGCAAGAGGTCTGATGCGAGTGAAAAAATCTATGAACACCACGCATATTGCAAGATATCAATGGTTGTTTCTCGACATCAGGGCCGCCTTTGATCCCCCTAGATAGAACTGTTTTTCAAGATTATCTATTGCAGTATAGTTTGTCTGAAAATGTGAACATTTCGTAGACCTTACATACAAACACTTCAGGTAGGAGAGCAAACGCGCACTGGCACATCTCTTCATTGCTTAATTCAAGCAATGGGGTTGGGCAGGGTTGTCCAGTACCGTAATTCATCCTCAATTTGACCATCATTGACTTTCAGGAAACAGTCCTGATCGAAGTAGTCGTTGTTTGGATCTGCTAGCTGGGCAACGATTACGATTTTGAGTATACAGGTGATATTGTCCAACCGTGCGATGATGGCTAAGTCATGCAGTCCTCAATTAACTAGTTGAGAATCGGCGTCCCTAGATATGGCATATGCTACGCGCCTTTTAAGTGCGACGTACTTTTACAAGACCGTCAGAATCCTGTTCTCACCCGATTTGTTAATGAGCCGAAAGAAGTTGTAAAGTTCATGTACCTGGGTAGCTGTGTAAGTGCTGGTAGTGGCGTGAGTGGTAAGACTAATTCACATATAGTGAGAGCCAGAGCAGCTTGTCAATTTGGGCCATTTTCGGCGCCTTCCTTGTGTTTATGAAACCTTCCCCTTAGGTTTGAAATGTTAAGAGGCCTTGAGTCTTTTCTAACGCATTTCTGATACCTAGTCACAACATGCTATTAATGCTAAATCGTGCCCGGGCATATTGGTGATAGTACAGTTGGTGTCACCATCTTGAAACGTCTTCGACGGCTTGAACAAGTACCATGAATGTCAGCGAATTTCGCGTTGTGCACCATTTGCTTATGCTGGAACTGGTTATAGAAAGCGAAGGGCTGGTTATTCTATTACACGATGTCGTGTAATAAAGAAAGCTGTACAGGGCTGGCTTCTATTGACCCTTCACAAGTCCCTGATTAAGGTTCTAGACATGGTACAACTTAGTGGACTGAAATCGTATCAGACATTGAGCAGAACAGAAGTGGTCTCACTGTAGGTTTATATTACTCCATATAAATGAGGCAAACCTTTTTAACCGGGAGGATTACTTGTTTTTAATTTCCTTGACTAAACCTTTTCTTTATTATTTCACTTTCGTACGCCATTTTCGATTGATTCTCCATATAAAGCCAAGTGTGTAAAAAAGATACTTACGAACTCAGTCTCAAAGGTGTGAATATCTCCTATGTAAAAGCACTTTATTTTGAAAACCATGGCATGAAGCCCTTTGTAAGGTAATTTTTTAGGTACGAGACATTTTCCTACATGAATGCTATGCTTCAATGTAATTGCGTCCTCTACTTCACATTGAGGGCACTGACACACCATCTTTTTGTTTCTATTTAACAAGGTAGAGGAGAATGAAAATGTAGTGAACTTTGCGTTAAGACGACGAAAGGTTCGCTTAGAAGAAACGAAATTGTTTGGGGAGAAAGGTTTCACTGCGTAGGTAAGCTTTACTAAAACATGATTTTCTCCACAGATTTAAAGGATATCAGTTCCATCCACATATGACACGCGTTCGACGCTTTTATCCGCACAAACACAATGTTGACGGGTTTTTCGTGGCGAAAATGAAAAAGTTAGCAACAGCAGCTACCAAGAAGAAAGAATCTGTTTAAGACCACATATGTAAAGGTAAATTACCAGAAGTATCATGCACTTATTCCTACTTATAAATAAAAAAAACTTAACCTAAAGTTAGTTCTTACTTCTTCAGAACCGTGCACGATGGACTTCATTGTTAAATTGACCTCATCGTAAAAAAAAAGGATTTAGAACAATTAACGATGTCAGAAATCTAGACAGCTTCTTTATCTGGTGCTAATGTACCCAGTTCGTTAAAAGGAATGATGTAGTTGGCGATCGCGCTTACTGTCTGTATCCAGTTAGCTGACTGACCACCTAATCATGTGGCAGTTGTCTGTCCTCTACCCTAGAGATCTATATCCCGTTTCCAAATATTACCTCGCTGTTTCAGTGGACAAAAAGCTCACTAATTGGATCCCTAATCTGCAAATTCGTCTACCTTTGTCTCTCTAAACTTATCTCACTGAATTAAACTTTTTCAATAATATCTTGGAAGCCTAACCTTCTCTTTTACCAGTAGTACTTCTACGATTTGAATTGACAATTGCGTCTCTGTGCTAATTTGGTATGGCAACATGAACTGATGTATTCACGTACGAAGTTCTACGGACTGACTGACTGATATTTGTTTACGAATACAAAGTACAAACTTGCCACATTTTCGATGTATTGGAAACCAGGTAAGAACTATCGGTTAGGAAAATAAAAACTCTGATGCATACTAATCAGATCAAAACTCAATTACAATAGAGGTTGAGTGTGTGACAAAACTTAGAAATGTACATAAAAAGATTGGAGTTTCTCCTCTCAATTGCATTCATGATTGACTGCGCCTGCGGAAATCCTCGAAAAAAGTTCTTACTTCTGATTCCGTTACAATCTGTAAGACAAAAAAGGGATCTGAGTAAGAAAGGCTATGGTTAATTCCTGGTTAAGAAAATAATGAGCTACTAACCTACGTTGATGTTGATCACTTTTTATGTGACGCATAAAATGCATTTCGGCTAATCAATAAGTCTAAAAATCTTAACTATAAAGCGTAGGGATAACAATCTTTTTGAGGGACTATTACAGTCGCCTCATTGAGACATAATCAAACTCTGCAAATAACACTGTAAGAAGTTCTCAAGTGGATTATATTTTCCCTGGCCATGGTTTAATACGTCGCTAGAAACTATGAAGATAAAGATTTGTATGGGTCTCCTCACTGTAATTAAGGGAAGATTTAAACATATTGTATAGGGGAAGTAAACGGATACACGAGGTACTTACATGATTTTCATCTCTCTTCTTAGTAAAGAATTCTTCCAGGGCTTCCTTCAGTCGCGCAAATCCTAAATTGCGAAACATGTAAATCAATATTGTTGCAACATATACGAATGTGTCTTTGTTCATAGACTTTCAGATCTTTCTACACGGTTATATTATTTCTTCATTCAGTTCATATAACCTAGGTTATTTAAGTATAGATGTTTTTATCATAAGGTCTCATTTGGTTTGTAAAGAACTATTTTCGAACAGATTGTGTTCCGAAGTGTTGTAACCTACTAACTGAAACAAAGGCGTTTAACATGCTCCTGTACTTTATTGGTAGTTTAATATCAATCGTATAGCAACGTAGTATAGACTGCCATGCTTATTCCTGTCATATATAATACCTTTCTCTTTATTCTATCATTCATACTCAATAGCATTTGAAAATATATGGTGACTGTTTATATGATGAAACACAGCCATTTACAATATAAACGAAATATTGCACAAAATAGATGTCTAATTAGGAGATTTACATCTGCTAAAAAGCCATATAGGATGTTTCTTGATGTGCTTTGTTTCAGTTACTATGACGAACTCATTCTATTCGAATGTTAGAAAGGCAGGTCGGAACGAGTAATCAATCGAAAAGAGTTATAAAACTCTAGTCTACATGATCTTTGGGGTCCAGAGGGTATGAGCGGTGTGCGGATTTATTGTTACTGAACTGCTACCATCAGATCGTTGCTCCGCTGCCTTGTGGATTAAACTTTTAGACCAAAGGTTCGTAAAGTGATAAAGAAACCTATCTGTTTCGACTTAAGCACCTCGAAAGTATTTCAGCCAACAAAAATTCAATAATTTGCTTGGCGCATACATATTTTAGTTTTTATTTGCACCAATATTAATGCGTTGGAATAAAAAAGTAGTTTGAATGTAGTAGGAACTATGATCCTCCTAATACTAATGGAATATTTTATTACATTCTCATCAAAACCATAATAAAGTGTGAATGCACGAATAAATAAATAAATTTTGATGGCAGAAAATATTTGAGATACCTCACAAAATTACAGCGCGCTTGATCTCATCCATCCAACGTTTGAGTGTACTGATTCAGGGTTTTAGTCAAACAATGGGCTACTTGTGTTAATTTTTTAGTTACGCAAAAGACCAGCATTGTGAGTTGCCTCGACAACAGAAAAAAGCTTACGAACTTACTGATGAATTTTGGAACACAAAATTTTACTGACCGAATATTGATATTAGTCAAACAAATACATGTCCATTGTAAGAGTGATTGACACATAGAAAAGGTACATAACATAACCATTATTAATTTTGCTGAATCCTAACACAATCTTTGTGATTCAGTTGTGTCGAGTTAATTTTACGGAGTTACTATAAGTGTTCTTACTATTTCTACGTATAATTTAGGTTCACTACTATTTATCATGCGATAAATCAAGGTTGTGAAGGTTACCTGTTGCAAAATTCACTGCCACAGGATGTGGCAGCTCTGCTAGAGCTTCATTTAGTGTGCGTTTCTCCTCCTCGGTAATTGATTTAGTCCTTTGTTTTCCTAGCTGCATATAAAAAGATACTGAGTCTTCAGGATCCAACAGAAATTCGACATTAAAATTCTTGTACATTTTCTAAACCAAAAAGATTAAAAAATAGCACTCCATAATGAAAGCATGTTAATAACATCAGCTTTAAAATATTAAGCACGTTCAATCGGAGTCGCACTAAATCTAAAAGTGTTACGACCTATATGTACATTGCTAACAAAACATTCACAATATTCGGATGTAGTTTACCTAATTCAGTTTCCTGACATCAAAGAATTTTTCCTGGAACACTAAGTCTGCTGCCCAATTATCATTACTAATGGAGTTTGTTGGCCATTGGGTAGACCCACTCACGTTTTGACAACTTAGTAATTTGAAAACCTCATTTAAGCAAAAATGAAAATAAGCACTTTCTTTTAGAGGTGCTTAGATTAGCAGGTGTATAATGTCACTGTCGATAAACTACCGGAATATTTAGCTGGTATTTATATGGTGCTTGGCAAACCAGAGTTGGTAGAGTAAACTTGTAACCTATTCTGTGAGGAATAAATGATGAGTTACGATCGTTAGTGAGAACGACAAAGAGTACAGCTGCATCATCATCAACAACGATTAACTTTTATCTGAAGAAACTATTGTATGGTTTCGGATATTCGGATTTGTAATCGAGATTCTGATGACAGTTTTTAAGAAAGTAGTATGGTGCTAACCTATCATCGGAAAACTAGGAAGACCTTAATGTAGTGTTTAGTTTGTCATAGGAAATGGTTTGCAAAGTGCAACAATGTAACTGTCCACTAGTTGTAAATGATTTCATTCACACCACTCAAATTCAGGGTACGTCTAAAAGCTGGATTTGATTTACTTTTAATGGTGGATATCTAGTACCTGTTGGTCATAACCACGATGAACGAGACTATTGCATTGAGAAGTTTAACTAAAAGCAGTATAAAATGCAATAGAGAACCGGACCTCAATATGTCTACAGAAATACAAGAACGAGTATATCAGTGCAACTGATTCTTAGTAACATGACCTAATGGATCTAACTTCACATAACAAGTACCTTGTGGGCAGCCAGCAGGAAGATTGCTCCTCGACAACCGGTCGTTCGTCATCCGAAGTCATTATGATTCATCTTTTTTCACCCAATCACTCAAACTCGCGATAGGGGGTAGCTAACCAAGTGCAACATGACCCAGTCATAGCAGATAATTTGCCATTTTTATAATGGACTTTTACAGAGAAGCGAAAGTGATTATCTTTACATTACCCATTTTTTTACCGCATGCATTCTTTTCTTACTAGACTTTCACAACATCATTGTTTATTCGATTGTCTCAGGATATAAGAACAATGCTTCGAAGGCACAGTAGGACGGAGCGAACTGCTGCACAGCAGACTCGTCTTGTTAGTGAACGGATATCTCGCCTACGCCATAAGTGAAACACGCCGGCAAAATTCAATCGAGCCTTCTACATCCGTGACAAGATTTCGTCAGTGGGCCATCAGTATTGATGAGCCTCTTGTTAACACTGACAATGTGTAAATAAGTAGATTAAAACGTAATTGCTGAAAAATACCTGTAGTTCCTACAGGAATTTTTTTACCGAAAACGTTGATGCTGGCATATCAACCACTGGATTCCTTCAATGCAACTTACCTTGCAGTCTACGCATCGACAGAGACAACTTCTCCAATCAGAAATCCAAAACACTGATGGTACCAAACTACAATCTAAGTTTTCTATGCCATCAAGTGACGAACAGCGGAAGTCAGATACATGATGTTTCATTCTACTAGCCCACATAGAAAGACGACAATCACAACTGTCCCCTGTATGAGTCGTTGCGTCATTTCCAGCCTTTTTCAACTTTTTAGAATCTGGAGTATAGCTTGACTCAGAGCTGTTAATATCGAAACAGGTAGTTAAATGACAGGATTTCCGGAATGTCCCTTCATTGTCGTATGCATGCATAAAAAGAAATGCGTACTTTTTGATGCACATAAAACAGGTCATCTCGTTGTAATCCTCAGGAGACTCGAATTCTCTATCCATGTTGAGATGCTAAGCAAATCTTTTGAGCAAAAATGTGGTTACCTCCAGGTGGAACCAGTTTTCACAAACACCACACTGAATCATTTCTTCAACACCCTAGTAGACCAAATAATAAGTTACAGAAAACTACATCATAATCCGGGTCTGGATACGGACGTTGGCATGTGCAATATCGGTTACAGAAATTGTCATTGTATTCGTTCAAGTTGTTTTCATCATCTTTTTCCTTTGAAATTTAGCATTATATTTGCATTACCTCCCACAATAGACATTGACAAACACTCGCAAATTTTGCATTGCCACAGTCACATCTGAAATAGCGTTTCGTGTATAGCTCAACTATGTCGTGGTCAGCATGGCAGACAGTTGCACAAGGAAAACATATCCCAGCTTTCACTTTGTTTATGTCTAAACATGTTCGACAGGTGTAAAGCGCTTGTCGTTTTACATATCCCTGCAGGCCGTAATAATAATAGGTAATGCTACCTTCGTAAATGTACAAGCGGATTTATCATCGATCCCACCCATGACTATACAATTCTCTTCATCAATATCCTGGAGTACATTTTCGATCTTTACGACCGTATCTTCCTCCTCACTGTCACTACTCATTTCAAATCGAAGTGAGCGAAGTCATGTTATGTTTCCCGCTACAAAATTCAATCAGTTAGATTCACCATGTTCTACAACTCTGTGTATTCCAATATTTATTGTGTTTAAAACCAAAAAAGATTACATCATATGGTTATAGTTATTTTAGAAGAATAAAGCTGGTTGAAATGTTGTTATGCTGATATATATGTGCGTAAGCGTCATATCAACAGAAATTTCGTGTTTTATATTTATCGCTGTTGCATGATGTACGAAGGCAAAAACACAATGGAATCATGCGTGCATTTTTAAATACACATACTTTCTCTTTTCTTTTCCGGATGATTGGAAAAGATAAAATCTGGTGGAAGAACACGAAGGATTGAGTTTGCCATTGTTCTTTTTTGTATAATATTGTGTACCTGAAGAACCCTTAGAACAGAAATAAATGATCAAACGCTACTAGAAGAAGTAGGTTATCAGTAGGCTACTTGCTGGCTTCATGCTCGTTGGGTTTAAACTTCTGGCTGGTCTCGCCTATAAGTCACCACTACCCTTTAGGGGGAAAAGTAAGCTGTAGAAATCAATAAATTCTCAAAATAATCGGCTCCTTAGGTCTTCGAAATTGGTACTGGCACCTGTAGTTCTGCTTTACACAGCCGAAGGCACAAACTCACGCATCCCCGATTACCGATGGATACCTTGTGCAGCTCACCTACATACATATATTCTATTGGAGCAATCTGGAAATACTGGATAGAAGGATCACAGAGAAGCCTGGCACTCAGGTCAATCAGCAATCAACAAACATCGACAGTGACCCAATTTATCAACCAGCCAGTTCAATCATAAGCGACACTGGATCAAGAGACAGATCTAATGAGGGACACAATCAAAACAAATGTGAAAACAGCGACAGATTTAAGGTCAAAATCAACTCATCAAAATTGAAATTAGTAGAACGAACTACGGGTCAGAAAATGGAGAAATTCGAATACTTCCATCTGAATTTCGTGCTGATTATGTTATTCAGAAGAACAACAGAAGCTCCGTAACCAAAATATCCAGCTCAGAGAACGAAACGGTTCCACGATCATCCACCTGAACTACAAATTCTCTTCACCAACTCAAAGACACGTCCTTTTATCAACTAGCAAGCTAAGTTCACTCGCTCCTCAACATTCCAACCACTTTACAAATATATTTACAATCCTGTTCATTCTCGACTCTTGGTTCGACTTCACCCTGGGTGCCCTCGATCTGGAGCGGGTTGCGGACAAAAGCGTTATCCAACTTCGAATATCCATGACATCTTGCATTTTTTAAATGAGTATAGTATACCACTCAGTGCAACAATCTATAGTGCTGTCAGTTCACTACATTCATCTGTGAAATGAAATCTAAGTAAATTATGATAAAATTCTGTTCTGAACCATTACGAATACATCAAGCGTCTTCTCAAAGGACCGTCGGCAGGTCTCTTCAACCACTTCATCTCGTAGTCAGTTTCAGAATTCGAATACAAAATCTTGCATTTTTTCTGAAACTGAACTTGTGTAAGTATTCTGAAAAATGCTGAGGAGTGTTAAGGTTGCTATATGTCACTAGGTCACTTCTGAAAACGATTAAGTTCTAAAGGCTAGAGAATCAGTGGATACACTTTCTCTTCATAAGGTCTTGATTTGAGTCGTGGAGCTGACTATCTAACTAACCTATGGATATGTACAAGTGCATTGTTATCTTTTCGAAATGTATAGGCAACGCTAATTTTCTATACTCGAAATTGGGTTAAATAAAACTGCGGAGGACTAAGTGGCATATTCTGCAGTCAAAATGTCAAAAAATTCACTAGAACTTCGCCATCGCAAAATTGTTTATGGTTTTTTTATTGTAGTTAACGCAAGGCTTTAAATAATAGGGTACTATGACTCTTTAGACTTATTTCAACTAAGGACACACCTAGAGGGACGGTACTCCGGTTACACGTATAGTCTGAAGCATATCTGAAGTGGATCCCTTTGCAATTTAGTTGTTAAAAGCTGGTCCGTTGTAATTCACCTAATCTTGAATTCGAGTAATATTTTTAGACTTTTCTGGTGTCACTTTCAACTGACTGGTAACAATGAGCTCCAAAAGTCATACATGTGGGCATGATACTTTACTGTTTCATGTGGTCTAAACTGTGATATTTCAAGCCAGTTTAGACAGTAATGTGACGCCCACGTAAGTTCTCATGCTTTAGACAGCCACATAATGGAAATCCTATCCTAGTAAAATAGGTCTACCATTCTAGTGGCATAAATAATTGCACTAAAACAGGCCTAAACCACAATCCTAAAAGTAATCATGAGTGCACCGTGTATAAGTACTGTGTAGTTATGTTTGTGCATGCTAAGAAACTAGCGCAAACGAGATACTAGTGAAAATACTTGAAAACATATGTGAGCCATCCCCCATGATCATTTCCGTAGGTCGTCCACATTATTATCGGTATTATTTGCAAACAATTTATTCAAACATACATTTTTGTAAAAAAAAATGTTGTGTTTCTTCAGAGATGTAACTGCATATATGAATTTCGATGACGTTGACATTCATTATGATTTAACAGGTTCCGTAATGTTTAGAAGGAAATTGATGATCATCTTTATCCCGTGTTAATGAAATTTATCATGATAAATGCCATTAGTTCGAAAAATTTAGATCTTCTGCTACAGCGTACAAAAAAATCACGAATACCTATGAGAGGTTACACTAAGATTTAATATAGAACGAGTTTATATTTAGCACTTTGATAATGTGGGAAACCCACTTTTATCAACATTCAGTGAGAAATTTCCAGACATAATCCATTCGTATAACTTGCTTGTTTCTTCTTTGATTTCTGCTGAAAGATAACTTTTTTCGGTAGGAGACGAGAAGGAATAAACCATTTTCGAAACATTAACGAAACTCACTCTGAAGCCCCCTTCTTGGGTACTACTCCCGGTCTCGAGCGCGGATAAAAGAGGAGGGTTGGGTACAGAGTTAGCTACCCCATTCCGTAGAAAATGAATCATGACATCGCATGACGAAAGCCGAATTACTTCGGAAGTCACGAGGCCGACACTCTTTCTGAAAACCAGAGCAACCACTTTTTAAGTACATGAAATGTTCGTACATTTTCAGAGACTGAGTTTGTCATCCGATTTACTGCCTAAATGAAAAGATACAACCTGCAGGTGCTTGGAATCCGTCGAACACATTAGACAAAGGTTAGACAACTAAGACTAACTTCAAGAAAACTGCTGCTATACTCCATCCATGAAGAAGACAATGCCTACACACAAAATGAGTTGCACTGACGTTGTCCAAACAAGCACAAAAGACACTATTAGGATAGGAGTCTCATGGATGAAGGATGATTAAGGCATCTTTCAAAACAAAGGAAGAGGGCATTACAATGAACGTCATCCAATGTTATGCACCTACCAACGACTACAATGACGACGTTAAAGATCAATTCTACGAGAGGCTGCAGTTAATCGTAGACAGATGCTCATCAAAGGAATTGACGATCCTGATGAGAGACCAATATGTCAAGGTTGGCATGGACAATACTGGATATGAAGACATCATGAGATGACATGGACTGGGAGAAAGGAACGAAAATGGTGAGAGATTTGCAAACCTATGTGCCTTCAACAAACTGGTCATCGGCGGCACAATATTCCCACACAAATGCATACACAAAGCTGCATGGATTTCACTGTATTACACTACTCAGAACCAAATCGACCATATGTGCATCAACAAAAACTTCAGAAGGACCATGGAGGAAGTGAGAACCAAGAGAGGAGCTGATATAACCTCAGATCACCACACTCCAACATGTTAAGAGGTTCTGGGCCACAAGAAGTACCAGCAAAATGAATGGATCTCTGTTGCTACTCTTGATAAAATTCAAGATAGGACGAACAAGCAGGCTGCAATCAACATCAGCCGAACAAGAGCGGAAACAACCAAGGCACTTTCTGAATACACAGAAGCAAACAGGCAAGTGAAGAGGAGCACCAGAGCCGACAAACGCAAATACGTGGCAGATCTGGCAATGACGGTGGAAAAGGATGTAAGAGAAGGAAACTTGAAACAATTGTACGATTCAACATAGAGGCTCGCTGGAAACTATCGTAAACCAGAACGACCAGTCAAAAGCAAGGAACGCAAAGTAATCCTCAACATTGAAGAACAGCAAAACAGGTGGGTTGAGTACTTTAAGGAACTCTTGAATCGACCAGCTCCACTGAACCCACCCAACACCCGAAGCAACATCCACGGACCTCCTAATCGATGAAGGCCCACCAACATTTGAAGATAGCACTATGGCCATCAGACAAATCATGAGCGGAAAAGCAACGGGACCGAACAACTTTTCAGCAGAGGCAATGAAAGCAGACGTAGCAGCAACTGCAAAAATATTTCACATTCTCTACGACAACATTTGGGATGAAGAACGAGTAGGATACCTCATCAAAATACCAAGGAAAGGCGATCTCGGAAGTGTGAGAACTACACAGGCATCAATCTTCTCTCAATACCAGGCAAAGTCTTCAACAAGGTATTCTTAGTCATAATGCAGGACTTTGTAGACGTTCAACTTCGAGATCAACAGGTTGGATTTCGTAATGATTGATCGTGTACCCACCAAATTGCAACATTACGGATCGTTGTGCAACTATCAATTGAGTGGAGCTCACCATCGGCATATTCTAAGTCAACAAGCAAGTCTCCTGATAGAATATTCACACCTAAAAAGTCAGATGATTAAATTGTCGTCTCTAGAAGCACGTCAACGACAAAGTCGTACAAGAATGGAGAAAGTGAACAGCCCTGATGAACACCACTCGAGGTAATCAATTCCAATAACAGTTCGCCATAAGCTATAACTCGACCAGCAGTGTTCGAGTAGAGAGCTTGTACAAGGTTAATGTACTTCATTGGTACACCTTTCAGTGACTCACTGCCACAGAACCTGACGATCCACAGAGTCAAATGCCGCCTTAAGGTCCAGGAAGATAACTATTGTAGGACGCCTAAATGTGTGTCCGTGTTCCAGGACCTGTCGTAGTGTGAAGATGTGGTCTATATAACCACGTCCAGGTCTGAAACCAGCCTGGTTTTCTCTAATCTGCTCTTCACGAGCTCTAGTTAGGCGTCTAAGGATTATCGAGGCTAACAATTTAGAAACTATATTAGTCAGACTTATTCCCCTGTCATTATCACGAGACAGGATAGCTAACAGGCTTGTTCGAAGTGATGACCGGTGTCGAGCAAGGTTACGTACTCTCACCGTTTCTCATTCTCCTGGTTATGAAAACGTCAACATCTGGAGGGAGACATAGTATACGGCGGACAGCCCGGATGCAGCTGGACGATATGGACTTCGCAGATGATCTGGATCTTCTATAGCGCAAGCAACAACAAATGCAAGCGAAGAAGACCAGTATAGCAGAAGAAGTTCTCAACACACAGAAAGGCAAAGGTAAGATTGTTCGCACAATATCTAGCTATTCTGTTCACAAAATACTTCAGATTCGTTGGCCAGATACGATCAGCTACAACCTACTATGGTAAAGAACAAACCTGATTCCAGCGGATAACGAAATCAGGAAGAAGTGCTGCAGGTGGAAACGACACACACTGAAGAAAGCACCAAACTGTGTCACATGTCAAATTCTCACTTGGAACCGTCGAGGACAAAGGAAAAGAGGCAGGCGGAAAAACACATTATGCCGAGTAGTGGAGACAGATACGAGAACAATGAAAAAAATTGAACAGAACTGGAAAGGGAAGCCCAGGACAGCGTTGATTGGCGGCTTATGCCTCATCGAGGGTAACAAAGGTGTAAGCAAGTAAGTAAGTCACCGTCGAGTCTATAAGTACACTATTCGAAAAGGATCAAATCATTTATTTCAACTTACGTGGTTTGTAGTCAAGCACAACCGACATCCCACCAAACATTAGAATAAAAGTGATAGATGAAGAGGTCATAAGTGGTACTTGTCACTTATTAGTCATTATCAACTGTCACAGTAAAGAGCAAAACAATATGAATTCGGTCTCCTACAGAGGCGAATAAAAAGACGACTTGTGGTCCATCGTAAACAGTTTGACTTAGAGTTATATGATTATTTCTTATATCTAGGGTGGGTAATCAACGGATAACACTCAAAAACCTGGAACCTGAAAGAAATAGCGCTGTTCGTTGTAAACTGTGGGTAAAAAGCTTGTGACGGAAACTGTGGTTTCAAATGTATCTCCAATATTTCTCTTGGAATCGTGTCACATCTTTTCCTAATTTTTATCACTCAGATAACGGTAATTCTGATGACTTCACTTTATCTTTTTCAGCACACTCTATCAATACAAGGACCTAAAAACTCGGCTCACATAGTGTGATTCCTATGGAACTTAGGAGACAATCGAATAACACTGCATTAACCAGAAACTCCTCATGTCTGGTCAACTCCTTCTGGTACATCTTATGGCTAAAATATCAACTAGTATTCAAAATCCTGACGTTATACCCATGAATTTATGGAACTCCCAGTGCTTTGTATAAGTTTTTAAAACTTTTTCGATATATTCTTCGGTTCTGCGGTTATTTTGATCGACTGATCTAGATGATAGTCCTCGGTAATTCCATTTCTGATTAATAACTGTGAAGCTCATCAGATATTAAGTGAATATAACAGGATTTATACATCTCATCAGTTGGAATTGCTCCACCGTTACCCAGATGCTGATACAAACTGTCAAACTGCTATTTGAACAGTTTGATGTTCGAGTAACAAATAATCTTTTAAATTAGCGGTCGCGAGATTTCAAACCTGACGCCTCGTTTGTTAGTTGTTTTGTTACCAAAATCCTGTACATTATCTTATGATCTGCTTCATCGCTTCAATCGATTTCTACCAGAACATTAGTTTGTGGTAATTTTGCTACCAATATCTAGCATTCCTATGTTCTCGTAATCATATGTTTCACGGGGGTGAGTCAACAATATTTGTTCTCATTTTAACCACACATTTTGAGTGCAAATATCTTGATAAGCAATTAATTTGCTATTATTTGTGATACTTATTTTAAGCAAGTCTTACGGATTAATCATACTCTCTTTTACACTAGGATTTGAATGAGTGGTCCAAGTGTACTCACACTACATAGAAAAACCAACAATAAATAAAAGACACCTATTCATATTGATTTCTCTGCTCATGAGCCGTCAGTTATTCTGAATCATACAACCCACCTGTATCTATCGTAACATGATTCACACCAAGTAAATATCTAGTTAGTAGTGCGGATTACCATTCCATTGCGGCGTAAGTAAACAGGTGTCCAAATCTGAAGCTCAGTTCTTAAGAGTTGATTTCTTTACTTCTACATTTACACCTGTATGTACTAAATTTCTGGAATTTTATTCACTCACCCAAACAAGTGTCAGTACCGTCAATCAACACTCAACGAAAAGCTGGATCTTCGCTGTGAAACAGTTAGAAGGATCAACACAATTTAGCTGATCTACTATCTTCATTACTGAGATTGAAAATGTTGGAAGATTTTGCCTTGATTTACAGACAACATTGATCCTAACACATTTTGTTTTCCATTAATTGTTTCAGCTTTAGGTCTCTTGATAAAAAATAATGAGCTGTCCCAGCCCAGTCATAGTTTTTTCCAAGCCCTTTCAATCACTTTTTGGCTGATAAGCCCCACAGAATTTAATTTAAGCACAGAGTGTCGGGGAATGTTTTAGAACCCAACCATAGCTGCTACCTTAACCTGGTGGTGGGACTTACCTTTCATGATGACCCTAACGAGCTGTATTGTCTGGAGCATATATTCCTGTGGGTCTTACCATGACAGGCAAGTCGATCAGAGGACTACAAGACCGAAATCATCAACTTGAGTCCTGAGGACGAATTCGTACCTCTGGCTGTAGAAGGGTGTGACAGCAGTAAGTTGTTTCCCTCGGATAACATACATCTGTGGCGATTCTGTCTTCTCACAACAGAATGGAGGGATTAGAAAAGGTCTACTCCAAAACTGTTACGCCTCTCTTACCCTACAGCCTTCCTGTAAGGCCGTTTAAGAGCGAGGCTAAGCTTGGAAAACCCAGTTAAAAGGCCGTGTGTGATCGGCCTCAAGCAGTTGTTCTTTAGGCTCTGTGGTCACACCCCCAGGTCACTAAGACTAACGCTATCCAAATTCCTTTTAAGGTTCCTCAGGAAACATCCTTCCATGGTGTGGGCCAGCGGGAAGTGATTTCCTCACTCACCCGTAAAAGCGCACGAGACCAAATCGGTCACAAGCAAATCCTCTCTACACTTAATAGTTCTTATCTCCACTACCAGCCCTTCTCACATCCCTTTATCACCTCGGTCCGCTGATGTAAATGTTTCGGGTTCACGGAACACAATTCCCGGTCTCCTGAAACCCCGCCCTAAACTACTTGTTGGAGGTTCTAATGTCTGGACCTTGTGCCGAATATCATCATCAACAGCAACGTAGAACTTTGCATGTAAGTACAGCAGTTCACGTTGCCATACCACAGCACAGAAATATAATTGTCAATTCAAATCTCATAGTAGTAGAGGTAGTATGAGTATTAGCAGTAATCGGAGAGATTAGGGTTCGAAGATGTTATTCAAGAAATATAATTCAATAAGGTAAATTTAGAAAGAGAATGATAAAGGTGATGAGTAATTCAGAAGGTTAGAATTTCATAGAACACGAAGAATAAATGCACCTTCGCTATTGCAAACTGTTTTGAGCCATGTTATTCAGGGCCTCTAACCATCGATTATTATCATCTCGTGGACCCCAACCTGGTAGCCTACATCTACCAACACGACTCACTCTACTTGTCAGTGACTTCATGGATTTGTGCCATGTTTTGGTCTGGCCGCCCCTAGCTTTTGTCCAACCTATTCCTATATCGCAAAACATAACTCGACGAGGCAGTTGGTGGTTAGGAATGCGTAACGCAAGTCCTAAGCACCTCAACTGACGAAGTTTCAACACTTCATATATTGACCTACCATCCTTACCTAGCACCCGTTTCCAAACAACACCATTGCCTACTCGGTCGCCCCACGATACTCGAGCAATGCTACGGAGACACCTGTGATCGAAATCAAGCAACCTACGAATATCTACTCTCACTGGCCATGTTTCACAGACATAAAGTAGGACAGAGCGAACTACTGCACAGTATACTCGTCCTTTAGTCAGCAAACGGATATCTTGCCTTCCCTATAAATGATGCAGGTTGGTAAAAGCCAGTCGAGCTTTCTGTATCCATGCTGAGATTTCGTCAGTCACCAGACCATCAGCACTGATGAGACTCCTCAGATAAGTGGAGCGGTCTACACGTTCGATTACTTCACTCCCTATCACTAGTTCAGGTGCCGATGCAACCCAATCTTGAAGCAACATTTTGCATTCCGAGGGTGAGAACCGCATCCCGAACATGCTTGCATTGTTGCTTAGGGTAGTCAGGAGACTCTGCATTTTGTCTGCATCTTCCAGTAGAACCACATCGCCGGCATATTCTAAGTCAACCAATGAATCTCCTGGTAGGTTTATTCCTGAAAATTCGGGCGAAGATAATGTTATATCTAGGAGCATATCTATGACAAAATTGAACAAGAATGGGGAAAGTGGACATCCCTGGCGGACACCACTTGAAGTAAGGTATTCCGATGACAGTTCGCCATTGGCTCTTACTCAACCTGTAGTGTTTGAGTAAAGAGCTTGTATAAGGTTAATGTACTTCATTGGTACACCTTTCAATGACAGAACCTCACGATCCACTGAGTCAAATGCCGCCTTAAGGTCCATGAAGATAACTATTGTAGGACGCCTAAATGTGTGTCTGTGTTCCAGGACCTGTCGTAGTGGGAAATGTGGTCTACACAGACACGTACAGATCGAAGACCAGCCTGGTTTTCTCTAATCTGCTCTTCACGAGCTCTAGTTAGGCGTCTAAGTATAATCGAGGCTATGTTCCTCAAGGTTCTACCATGCCAGGCGGGTCGATTTGAGAACGATGAGACTAAAAGCAAATACTCAAGGTCTGTGAGGGTGAAGTTGTACTGCTGACTCCAGAGGGGTGTGAAAACAGCAAGGTGTTTCCTTTGGACAACCAGCATCTTCAGCGATGCTTCCTTCTCACAAGGAAGGAAGGGTTAGGAAAGGTCGACCCTAAAAATGTCACACCTCACCCTACCTCACGGATTCCCATCCCCGTCAGTAAGGGCTGTCCACTAATGGCTTTTAAGAGCGAAGCTAATACTCAGAAAACTTCTCATAAAAAGGCCGTGTGTGACCGGCCTCAAGCAGTAGTCCCTTGGGCTCTGCGGTCACGCTCCCGGGTCGTTAAGACCAACGCTAATCTACCTTCCTTTTCAGGTTCCTCAAGCAACACTCTTCCACGTTGTGGGCAGCCGGAAAGCAATATCCGCCCTCATACCTGTAACAACACACGATACCGAATCGGTCACAATCAAATCCTTCCTAAACCTCTTAATAACTCTCTTATCTCTTTGACCAACCCTTCTTTCGATCGTTTATCACCTTAAGCCACTGAAACAAACAGTATGAGCTCACGAAACATTATTATTGGGAGAAAGTTAGGGGCGGCCAAACCAAAACATGGCACAAATCCATGAAGTCACTGACAAATGAACTGAGTCATGTTTGCAGATGTAGGCTACCTGGTCGGGGTCCGTGAAACGTAAGTTACTGATGGTTAGAGACCTTGATCGACATGGCTCAGAATCGTTTGCAATGGCTCAGGTGCATCCACTCTTTGTGTTCTATGAAATTCTAAGCTTCTGCATTCCTCATAATCTCTACCTTTCACACTCCTCTGCAGTCATCAGTACGACTTTGCCCTCAGACATTGAGTTGCTGCTTTTAGTCTCATCGTTCTCCAATCGACCTGCCTGGCATGGTAGAACATTGAGGAACACACGTTCCAGACAATATAGCTCGGTTGGGTCATCACGATGGGCAAGCCCGGCCACAACGTCAAGGTAGCAGCTACGGTCGCGCGATCATTAGTCTTTTTGATTACTGCTTACTTCTGACATCTGTGTTTCTATGGGATTTGAAATGACGATAGCATCTCTGTGCTAATGTGATATGGCAGGTTGAACTGATGTCCGTACGTACGTTTGAAGTTCTACGTTGTAACTGACTGGCTGACTGAAAATGTTTTAATGGTAGTTACGTCACGGAAGTTCGTGGAACAGTGGTAGTTCAATAGGGTTTCATTGAAGTGTTGCGCATTTCCCGGGCTTATATGGTGACTACAAGTGAGAATTAGCATCCCGGGAAAAAATCGATATTAAATCAACATTGCTTCCAGCTTATAGCTTAAAAATTACACGCCGTTTTATTATCTTCATGCAATACGTTTGATTTTCATGTATTGGAATTCTTGGTCTATAAGCTAGACCTAAACGAATCACATGGAAAACTTAGGTACACTTACTATGTTCTCACTTCGCAGTCATCAGATCGTAAATTAATTGGTGCATTTGTTGTATGATTCCATTGCTGCCATGTTTGTGTTGATATATCAAGAACATCTGTTGCTAGATTTTTGGGCTCAAAGTTAGTGTTATAGTTCTGCATCTATTTTTATTTTGAGTATTTAGTTATTGACACAACGAGAGAGCTAGAACAGATCATTTTCGACGAGAAAGCTTCTAAAGATCCCACAACATGTGTATACTAAATTCAATGGCATAATCAAAATAGTTCTGTAATAAACTGTGTTACCTAATCGTAGGACTAACTCGAAATATGTTATCTGGCTGGTCGGTTTTATTTTGACTTGACTGGCACGTCCACCTGTTACTCACCACAGTTCTCAAATTAGTATCGTTAATTCGCCAACTTTTATCTCCTGAGGCAACCAGTCCGTTCCCACCTATATTCGAACCTAATAAATGTCGACCATGTTCATGGTTCTGTAATTATCTCTCCCCTAATTCACAGTAACGAACAAACATTTTAAATCCATATTTTTGTTTCTCAGCCAGTTGTAACGTAGAACTTGGTACATTTGCACATCAGTTCAAGTTACCGCACCTCATTATCACAAAGTGATGAGCTTGTCAGGTGGTACAGATAGAGAATGGAAAAGACGATTCAGGTAAACGAATCAGTAAGATAAAAGCAAAAAAATTATAAGGAATCGAGAAGCTTCGAATATGGGGAAGGACAAAGAATGGATGCACCCGCACCATTGCGAACGATTTAGAGCCATGTCATTGGAAGTCTGTAGCCACTAGTTACGATTATCACGCGGCTTCCAACCAGGTGGCCTATATCTAACACTACTCGATCCAGTTACCAATAACTTTATGAACTGTTACCATGTTTTGGTTTGGCCTCTCTTAACTTTCTTCGAGTCCACACATTGCAATATTACTCTTTGAGGTAGGCGGTGGTTGAGCATACGTAATACACGTTCAAACCACCTCAGCTGGTGAAGATTCACTACTTCATCAGTCGATTTGCGACAGTCTTCTATGGAGCCTCGTCGGCGATGATTGTTGGAAATGTTGTCTAGTTTGGTGCAGCATTGAGTCTATTGTGTGGGTCGTCATGTGAAACGACGTTTATGCGTATGCTTGAAGTTGGTATTTTCCAGAAATAGGCGGTTATTTGAGCATAGTTGCAGCAACGGCCGCCATAATCTATTTGACCAGCCACGACACCATAAGATCCACCTTGTCGTCTTTCAGTTTCGTTAAATCTACATACTTGATAATTAAAATCACCAGCTGCTATTTTTAAATCAGGGCGCTTAGCATTTTGAAGGTTAGAAAGCTTCCCATAAAATTCAGTCTGCTTCCTCTGAGCTGCAAACAGTGGGAGTATAGGTAGAGATAATGAAGTGGCAGCGGCATGTGTCCCTATTTTTCCCATTTCTCACTGTTTCCTTTAGTCGGACAGAGCACAAGAGACTACCTACTGGATTCCAGCCTAGGAATACTTGTTTTGCTTTTAGATCTGATATTAGGCCTACATCAGCAAGGTCACAATAAGCGTCAGTAATCCTTTCAGATACATGAAGCGTAAATCTCGACGGTCTTTTATTTTAACAAAGTGAGGTTAAATGCATGATACTACTCGGATCCTGTATGCAGTTCTTGGAGACGCAACATACATCAACGGCGCGAGATTTTATGGTCCTTGCTAAGGAAGCTTGTTGTTGTATTTGGCGCAAGGTCGAGACATTAGAAGCTCTAACATGTAGTTTAGAGCAAGGTTGCGGGAGAGCACTCGAATCAATAACATTTGTGGCACGTCGTGATAGATAAGCAAAAAGTGTTAGTCCTGAGGATAAGAGAGATGAGGGAAGGATTCGATAGAGAACAAGATTATCTTGGTTTCTGTTACGGGGATGAGGGCGGCTGAAAAACACCTGTTGAACAGAAATGCATATTGTCCTAACTCAGTGGAAACCAAGTTGTTTGGTATTCCATTGATTGGGTAACCTAGCTTCCAGCATTTTTCTTGTAAACAGGTATATCTCACAAATTCTACCCAGTACTAGTGCTGAATAACTTATTTAGCAACCTGATTTTTAACCAAGATGAGTAATAAATGTTGACTTCAGTGATAATAACTTGGTAGTGCTCTAAGTTTAAAGTTATAGTCTCTTGCCTTATATATATGCTTACATAGGTGAAAAACTACTTAATTACTTTCTTAGTTGAAATTGATGTTTTCTGACCACCATCTTCCTAAATGTATGATTGTAATTGCTTCTTCTGATCTAGGTTTTGCTAACATGTTCTTAACCATTATATCTCTAATTCTATCACATTTTCGGTATGTGGCATAGTAAATTCTGTTAGTGCGTTAGTTACTAAGGCGAACAAGCTAATAATTCCCTAAATGGCAAGATGTCGGTAACTCGTATATTCGCCATTTAGCCACTTTATTGGGACATTGGTAATGGTTTGGTTAGCAAGTGGGGAAGTGAAGTCACCTAAATCAGACCATATCTACGGGTCTGGACACTTTGTAAATCAGTTTATTATTTTTTTTCACTTCAAGTATTTGATGATAATCCTGTTTAGCTCTTTTAATAAATCACTCGAAGTATTAGAATATCTCCGTGTATATTTGTGATTCTTTTTTTCAACGGTTTACAGATAATAAACGATGATTTCTACAGACCAAGAACTCAAAATTTCTCGTATGACTAAAAGATCACAAAATAAAAAATTATTCGGCCGCGATAATTACAAGTTACGCGAGTTCGTATTACAGCCATATTGTATCCGGTATTTTGAAGTTAGCGGCGGAGTAAGTTGATCATCTTTCGGAGTATATGCTTTTTGTTTTAGAATCGTGGTAAAGAAAAAGGTCAGCTTCTTCTCAGTCATGTTAAGTTCATTGAAAAAGTGCAAGACGATGAGCTTGATAACAAAAAGAATGCTTTCCAAGTATGTTTAAAGTTATTAACTTGATTGTTATTTGGAAGGTCGCTTATGCAGAAGATGCGATCTCCAGCACTTGGTATCTTCTGTATATTGTCGCGAATTCCTCCATTGAACGAGATGACTGGATAAGTCTGGTTAGATTTTGTAAGTTAATTCAGCTAAACATGTTAGCACTTTCTGTACGTACTTCCGCTTATCAATAAACTTAATAAGGTGTTTGCAAACATTCTAGATACACGTGAACGAGGAGCTACTTTTCTACCACGTTATCACCCCGGTGTTTGGAAACGCCCCGGCAGATATAGTTGTTGTGATGATATTAATCGTCGATCTATGGGATGTCAACCTACTAATGAACCAGGTCCATCTGTGGTTATTGAGCAACTTTGGCGAACAGCTGCAGGAGTTGATTCAAGTAACTTTCAAACTCAATCTTCACAGGTTGTGACGACAACTAATCTGGTGACAAATACACAATCCTCTTATCCCGTTTCTACTCCCCAATTGGTTACAATGCAGCTTAATCCAAACGTACAACTTGCATCCAATCCACTATCAGTATCCGATTTAAGTACGACGAATGTACCTTCCACTGCGGCTTCATTTATTCCACTTACTTCTACTGTTGGGTTCCCTTTACTTCATCAAACACCAGGTCTTTCAGCTCCTGTTACAGGAGTATTGATGTCCACTGTCGTTACTAGTTCGGTTTCTCCACCAACCTTATTTCAAATACAACAGCAACAGCTTCTGCTACAGCAAAAACAACAACAGCTTGCTATGCTTGCAAATACTAACGCAGGTCAATTTTCTCATTTAAACAATGTATTACGTCGGTCAGGAATGAATCAAAATAGAGGACATTCCCTACGTTATATTCAGCCAGCTTTTGATATGGTAAGTGTTAATCCATTCTTTTGGTCTCAGCCAATGATAATTCATAGTAGGAACTGTAAGTCTAAACTATAGTTTCCTAATTCATGAAACAACGATATAGTTGCTCTTTTTTGATTCATTAATATTTAAAATTTATTAAACAGGTTTTCGATAACAAATGGTTTCATTAATTTTCACTAAATGTAAGATCAGGTGTAGGGTAATAAGTAGAAGATGCATGTTGATTATTAAAACTGTGTCAATATGTCTATATCTATATCAAGATATCTACATGTCACTCCCGAATTATATCTTACGTTTGCGCTATGCGAAACACCCTGAATTAACCCAAGATCAGAAGATACGGATTATTATTATTATTATTATTATTATTATTATTATTATTATTATTATTATTATCTAAGCACCGTACAATAATATAATGTGATCCAGTTTCGTTATAGAATCGTTCATTAGGTTATCGATATCTAGAAATTCTAAAGCTGATAGAACTGTAAGAATCAAAATGTAAGTAAATTGAGCATGGAAGATGATCTAATGATTACTGAACAATTTTGCCGCATTTAGCGATCTTGAAATAAAACTTGAAGAACTTCGTTGTCAAGAAACACAATTATTTCTTGAAAAAAGTATCGCTCAAGATTAAATCAAACTTGGATTCACTCCAACCTTTTCAAAGTTGCTCTTGGGATTTAAAAATTTGGTCAGTGGAATTGGTCCTTAGTGGCGCATCCAAGAATACCTGTTTTTGACTTGACTAATAATTATTTAGTTAACAGATTTGTCACTGATGTTTGGGACACTGAATAAAAAATTACTGAAGTTACTAACTACCGAGATCAAAAGCGAAGACATTTTTGCTACACAACATTTTACTCACTAATTCATTACTTCTGAGAATTCTGTATCGTACTTAATACAAATTGAATAGAACAGTCGTTACTGTTAGTATTATTATTTTCAAATTTGTATAAATACATATACATAAAGTGTGCTCTCCTGACCCACTTTTTAGGATGAAGGAGAAAATACTGTCATTGCAGTATATAACTATAATCCTGTAAGAGAGAACCAACTGCCTTTACAAAAAGGTGAGAAGTATTACGTAGTCAATCAAAGTAATGCTCAATGGTGGTATGTTAGAAATATAGCTGGCCAATTGGGTTACGTGCCTACCAATTATGTTCATAAACCAAACAGTCTGAATTCATTTGAGTAAGTTTATATTGTCGATCTTCTGAATTCTATCACTCAATAATCAACTATTTAATTTCCATTAAACCTTCGGCACTAACTCGATTTCCTGAAGATTTGACTGTGTAAGTGTAGTAGTGAGGTTTGCCTATCTTGATGTTTCAACCGAACTTTCTTGGTTGAAATGGTTGTTCTTTTAGATTCTACCATACCAAGCAGGTCGATCAGAGGACTATAAGACCAAAAGCAGCAACTTAAGGTCTGAGGACGAAGTCGTACTGCTATCTGTAGAAGGGTGTAACAGCAGTAAGTTGTTTCCCTCGGATAACGTACATCTGCAGCGATGTTGCCTTCTCACAACAGAATGGAGGGGTTAGAAAAGGTGTACCCTAAAAATGTCACACCTCACCTTACTCCACAGATTTCCGTGTCCGACGGTAAAGCCTTTTAAAGAGCACAGCCAACACGTCTAAACTGTCTAATCGAAAAAGACCGTGCGCGATCGGCCTCAAGCAGTTATCCCTTGTTCTCTGCTATCACGCTCCCAGGTCACTAAGACCAACACTAATTCAGCTTCATTTTTTATCCCTTAAGAAACACCCTTCCACGGTGTGGGCAGCCGGGAAGTAACATCAGCCCTCGTACCTGTAACAGCACCCGAGATCAACTTAGTCACTATCAAAACCCTCCCTCATCTCTCTTATCCTCAAGACTAACACTTCTTGCATATCTATCACAAACTGCCATCAATGTTAGATCTTCTGTATTATGATCTCCTAATATTAGTCTATCATCATATTTTAACTCAGGTTGTTATTGATATTTTTAGTATAAGGTATGTAAATTTGTTTCATCTGAATAATTAATACCATGGTTTAAGGTTGTAAACAGTTGAGGTGAGTCGACGAAATAAATAAATTCAGGTTATTCTTCTACGACATTTGTTCTTTCCTTATTCAAGTTTATAAATGGAAAAAAGAGACCATCATAGATTAACCCCTGAGATTTTTAAGAATGGTGGTCCAGTTTTAGCAGTAAAATTGACTGATTTCTTAAGTAGAATTTGGGAACTGGATGTAATCCCATCTGATTATCCCAGTCTATAAGAAAGGATAAAAGTCCTTTTGTGACAATCACAAAGGAATCATTTTAAATAATATAGTGTCTAAGATATTAGCTTCAATAATACTTTGACGCCTAACTAGAACTCGTGAAGAGCAGACTAGAGAAAACCAGGGTGGTTTCAGACCTGGATACGGATGTATACAGATGTTCACAAGTCGTCAAGTCCTAGAACGCAGACACACATCGACGTCCGACAACAGTTGTATTTTTGGACCTTAAGGCGGCGTTTGACTGTTGATCGCGAGGTTCTGTGGCTATAATCAGATAACCGCTATTTCTAGCAAATACTAACTTTAAGCACAAGGAGAAACCATCCACTCTTTGTCTTCTCTCAAGTCCTAATCTTCTGAATTTCTCATCACCATCTTTCTCTTTTTAAGTTTGCCTCACTGAATTATACCTTTTGAATTAGTTCTTCGATCCCTAATCTTTTTGAATATCGCTAATACTTCTACTATCTCTAGCACTGTGGGATTTGAACTGACAATTGCGTCTCTGTTCTAATGTGGTATAGCAACCTGAACTAATGTACGTACGTACGTTCGAAGTTCTAGGTTGTAACTGACTGACTGGCAAAGGACGAGTGCACTGTGCAGCAGTTCGCTCCGTCCCACTATACAGGTGCGAAACATGGGCAATAAGAATAAAGGATATTCGTAGGTTACTAGTATTCGGTCATAGGTGTCTTCAAAGCATTGCTTGTATATCCTGGGGCAACCGAGTAAGCAGTGTGGTAGTTAGGCATCGAGTACTAGGTAGGAATGGCAAATCAATTGATGAATTGGTGAAACTTCATCAGTTGAGGTGGTTGGGACATTTGTTACGTATGGCTAACCACCGACTGCCTCAACGAGCTATGTTTTGTCGTTTAGGAGTAGGTTGGAAGAAATCTAGGAGCGGCCAGACCAAAACATGGAAGAAAGGCATGAAGTCACTGACTAGTGGACTGTCATGTTGGTAGATGTAGACTACCTGGTTGGGGTCCGCGAGACGAAAGTCACCAGTGGTTAGAGACCTTGAACAACATGGCTCAAAACCGTTTGGAATGGCGCAAGTGCATCCATTCTTTGATCTCTCTCAAATCCTAATCTTCTGGATTCGTCAGCACCTCTACCTTTGTCTTTCTAACCTTATCTCACTTCTTTAATAATATCTTCGAACCCTAGTCTTCTTCATTACCATTAATAATTCTACTATCTTTATCACTATGGGATTTGATTTGACATTTGCGTCTCTGTGCTAATGTGGTATGGCAACCTGAACTGATGTACATACGTACGAAGTTCTACGTTGCAACCGACTGACTGACTGATAACTTCGGAAAGTAGAAAATGCTGTACATTATCAAATATGTTTATCATTCAATATAAAATCTGTGAAAGAAAAAGCTTAGTGTCACGTCCCTGTAGCTATTTAATTCATATTCAAAGCTAGAATATTTTTATCGGAACAGTGATAGACGCTTTCCACTCGGAATCTATTGATTATTACAATCGATATATGTTTTTTCCCCTTCAATTTTTCAAGACTGTTTCTAAGCTCTTGCAGTTTTCAACAGAGTTAAAGTTTGTGATCTCTTCATTAATGAACACATTGTAAAGTATCCATTCGAGAATGATTTGTTCAGTATTTCGTTTTATAGTTCGTATCTATATTTTCATTCAACTAGTTTGTGACAATTTTTGATATCTGTCAACATTTTTTTAATAAAACACCTTATTTGAAAATTCGTTCAAAGCGAATGCTAAAAGTTTGAACCAAAGTTCTTAATGACGAATTTATGTAGCATGCAAAAATGAAGTTATCTTTTCCACTTGGAAGTAAATCCTAAATCTATGCTATGTAGGTAACTCTAATTTTTGTTTTGTTTCCTGGGTTGTAAATTTGATTCTCTCTTATTTCTTTCTTTCCTAAACCATACAGCAAGTAGTTTTCTAGTTCAGTATTTCATATTTGAAATACTGTTATGCATTTTGAATCAAATATGAAGAATGATAATTAGACTGATATTCTTCCATATTTATAATAACTCACTTTCCACATTGGATCTACGCAGTTTTCCTTTTCTATTTTTTTACTCGTTAGTTATAATCATGTGAAGATGACAGATATTTTTGATAGACAAGCTTAATCTGTGTGTGCTGTTCTATTTTGAGCATTTCAATATCAATAGTATTCAGTTCTTGATAACGTCTCTAATCCTCGCTTGTCCAGAAGAATTATGTTGTAAAATATGTTGATGATTTCTTTCAGTGAACATTTACCAGTTTGAGTACTGATCTATTCGTGACATTTTATGTAAACGATGATAATATTATGTGGTTGTGTAAACTTCGAAGAATGTAGGCCTATTCAAACCAGTGACGTTTTGGTGGAAATTTGAGTTAATCGCAGCTCTATCGTCGATTTTCCCTAAGTCATAGTATTTTTGCACTCCTTTTACGAATCCTTATTGAACGATTCCTCCCATAACACTGAAGAGATACAAAACATCGTAAAAAAACTTTGTTTTATCAATCGAAGTTTATGTTAAACATGTTATCCTCCCTTCGAATGCATACCTTAATTATTTCCTTCTTGATATTAACTTTAACTAAGTGCACGTATGAACACTTAACCCTCTAGCTGGTCGATAATATTATTAGCATTTGTTTCCTAGCTTTGTTAGAAAATATCTACAGAGAATGTACTCTAAAAGTATTCTATCGCCATTTTAATTGTCTGTAAACTCATGTGTTGGGCTTAAAAAATACATATATTTGGCTCCTGGTAAGTTGTTCCTTTAATGTCTGCTATCATATCCTCACCACATATCGAACTGATTGTTTCTCATTGACATATGGTAATAACTGAATAATACAATAGTGTAAATTTGTATCTTACTTCCAAAGTTGATTTTCCTACTAAACGCAGGAGTTGCTTTTAATTAATTTTTCAAGATTACATATGTTGGTCAAATGTGTATAGATTCATTTGTCGAATAATCCGTCTGTAGTAATTTTTCTCTTGACCATGTCTTTTTGGTTCAGAAAATGTATTATTATACACTATCTTTGAAATTGACTAATTAACTGTGTTTAAAATCAGAAAAATTTGACACTTTAAATATATCTTTCCTCAAAACCCTACAGTGAAAATAAGTTAACCAGAAAAGTATAATGATAAAAAAATTAAAATACAAATACAAAAAGGTAAGGAATAAATAATATTTTCAGACGACGATTATTCAAAACTACATAAAACCCCATCGGTATGACTTTCCTGCGATGTTATGAACAAAGGATTCAAAGTTCTAATTTCCATTATTTTATCATCCTACTTACAATTTATTTGTAGGTAGAGAATTTTGTCAGTATTCTCAGCTCTCTTACTGTCTTGATCTTATCAAATTACGTTATTTTAATTTCATTTCATCCCATTTACTTTGGATATTAACGCATCCACACTATTTTCTTTCGTTGTATTTCAGTTGGTATTACAAAGATATCACTAGACAACAAGCTGAAGCTATTTTGCTAGACGAGAATCGCGAAGGTTGTTTTCTGGTTCGAGACTCAGTTAGCAAAAAGAACACATACACTTTATCAGTTACTTCGAAAGACCCTGAAGCGTAAGTTTTATAAGTTTTATAACTATACTTTTACGCTATTTCATATATGAAGATAGTTTTCGTCATGGGTTGACTTCATTGGAGGAAATAATAAACAACAGGTAGTACTGAGAAGTTGTTTTGTCTTTGTAGTTTTTAGATAAGAGTTATTTTCTCAGATTTCTTGTTTTCTGTTTCGAAATAGTCAACTTTTTTGTTCTAGCACTATCCCCTAATATAATGTAACACTATTATCAAGTACACATTCTTAAGTTTGACTGGAAATCGAAATTGCAGTTCCGTTTTTTTATTGATTTACGTTACCATCCGTTATTATGAAGTCCTAAGAAGATTAGATTGATACATAATGGTAACTTTTCAAAATCGAATGATCATTCGGAGTCAAAATTAGATTAATTTTCTTTAGTTTCTTTTATTAATGTATTAAGTAAAAGGCTTATGAAGAATTCGGCTATTCTCTCCTATTTATAGTCTAATGTAGTCTAATCTAATGTTTCTATTTTGTACACCCCATTATCTCGTAAACCCAATCATCTGGTTGCTATAAGCTAGCAGAAGCTAACGCGACACAAATAACCTTGAATTATTATAGAAAATAAGACTTAAGAAACTTGGCATCATGAAATAAATATTTAACTGAGATTACTTTTATTTGTTTAACAGTATTTTTAAGACAATGCGAAAACTAGTTGTTTTCGATCACTCTACCAGATATATTTTGACTTAACTTTCAGGATGTTAGAGAACATTCCAAAAATATTCGTATCAAGTTGTTTTTATAACAATGTTCATACATTGAGCTACCTATCCAAAGACTTAGATAGACTGAGTAGTGTGACGAAATTGCTCTGTCATTTTATAATTCATCGTCCTTACAAGGAAGAAATGTTTTTGCCCTCGAGTATACTATCTTGATGCATTTTCTTGTTGACTCATCTTTTTATTTCATTCCCTCCGTCTTCCTTATTTAGTTGTTTTGGTTAAGATGATAGTATATGTGTATATTTTAGGCTGTACCTCTTTGTGACGTCAAAATAGGAAACTCTGTACTTGTTATATACTACCACTCAACCTTTATCCGAATTTTTAACTAGCTTTGTTACCCGATTCAAATATGATATTTTTCGCAAAATCAATATTTGGCATTGAAGAACGTTTAATTACAACTGAAAGTTGATAGTTTGTACAGTTGTCAAAAATATTAAAAATTGTATTCCTTTTTTCACTTGTTTTATTTCAGGCCAGGAAAATTAAAAGTACATCATTATCATATCCATAGAACAGAGTCATCAAGTCTAAATGGACACATGAATGGATGTGGTAGTGGTAGCAATGTTGGCTTAAATTCTGCTGCATCTGTTGCTACCAACGTTACAGTAACAACAAATTCAACATGTAATACTACTGTAAATATGAATGGTTCAACTGGCACAGGCTTGAATACTCCTAAAGTTGGATCAACCACTAATGGAGAAGCACAATATTATTTGTCTGAAAAGCATGCATTTCCTACAATCAGTGATGTAATACATTATCATAAGCATAACTCTGGTGGACTGGTTGTTCGACTCAGATCACCACCAACTAAAGATCGCGAAAGTCCTGTCACTGCTGGAATGGGTCTAGACGAGTTTGAACTCGACCCAGCTGAACTTCATTTAGAAAGAGAGCCTATTGGAAAAGGACAATTCGGTGTAAGTTGCTTTTATATGAAAATTCTTTCTATCTTCAGAATCATAATCGTAACTAGTGTTTATATAAGTCACTTGCAGACCTCACTTTACTTGTGCGTTCGTCGATGTCCTACTTAGCGATGCATTAAAACGACATGATTCACTATCGCTATCATGTACTGCTGTAATTTATGGAAATATACCTTCAAGATCATAAACTTGTTGCAAATCCTGTGTTATCTAAGATCACTTTTCAATGCATTTTCAGTGCATTACTTCATTAACTTCCCGTTTTTACTATCATTAGTGTCTGGTAATAATTACTCTAATAATTCTTACCAATAAATAACGATTAACTTCATCCCAGTAAGGATATTATAAACAAAACTTCTGGCATAAAACTAGACTTCTTACTATAAATAGCGGAGCAAGGCAGAAGTGGATGAAAGTGATCTTGTTCACGCTGTTAGCTTGATGCACGAACCTATCGATACTTTTAGACGAAATCAACTTTACGTATGACAGTAAGTACAATATTAAGTTATGCTATCTAAACATAGCTATTAACTCTCCAGCTTATCTAGCATGTGTCCATGAAGTTCTGTATCTTAATAAACCTCTGTAGATAATTTAAAAATACTCTAAAATTCTGATTCATCTATATCACTGTCTATGAATGTAAATAAAGCAAGTCACTTTCCGTAAAACCTTGACAAGAAACAATAATGATACATATAAAATTCGATAATAAAATCTTAGTTTCAACGAACATCTCAAAAACTTAACAATTTTACAAATTCTTACTATAATTTCCACTTTAAATCTAACACAAATACTATATAATCTGGTATTTTCAACTTATTTTCCCTTATCATATCAGCTCTTTGGAGTAGATTCTTTAACTAATGCATGTTATTATATTTAATAACTATGGGGTCAAACTAAGCTAGATTTAAAAGCCCACTTTCATGTTTATCATGCTTTGACTTTTAAAATGAAATTTACTAAATAACTACGTGTACTCAACTTTAGGCCACACTATCCCATATGTAACTGGTACTACATAACTACCCAAACAGTAATTAGTGAAGCTAGGTTAGACTATTTGATTCAGTGATTAAAAAGCGAGTGCTTCCATAATGAAGGCACTATTTCCTGACCTCTAGGCTTCAACCTACAACTCTTATCGTTGTAAAAAATTCAATCATTGCGCCTCTACGCTCTGAAGTCTTTAATTTTTAAGTCAACCAGTGCCAAAAACCTACACCGGTAACAGTTTAAATACTTTATATTTTACTCATTTATATGTGATCATTATAAACTATCATTTAAATAGTGTACATGTTTTGAATTCAAATCAAGTTAATGTACCAGTTCATGACGCTGTTTGCTGTCCAATTTTACTAACTCCCATTCATTTAAAATATGAACTTGAAAATACTACCATTTTGATGATTTTTAATAATCTTCCGTTCCATACTTAAGATATTATTAGTTACGGAATAGTGAATTTCTGACGTTCAACAAATATTATTTTAATAGTTTCACTGAATAACTAATTTGGCTAATTTGATTTTACAAAATTTTGTTTTATCGATGTAACGTAATGCCCCAACAACGTAAAAGTCGTATAGTTGATACCGAATCATTTTTATTAACGAACGAACACTCCCCTCGATGTCAGCATACGAATGCAGGTCAGACAACAGATAGGGTTGGTTATATCTCTGGAGAGTCTGAACATCGGCATTTTTTGTCTATCCGAGGCCCGTAATGAATATTATAGCGGCGCACTACATATTCTTTATCCATATACCCCTTCTAAAGCTAGTTTCTCGTGCGTTTATCCGGGTCTGGTTTTAATGTTGTTAGTGTCGCAGTAGAGCTTACTTACTTACTTACTTACTTACCCCTGTTACCCCCAATGGAACAGAGGCCACCGACCAGTATTCTCCACCCAACTCTGTCCTGGGCTTCCCTTTCTAGTTGTTTCCAGTTTTCGTTCATTCTTCTCATGGCTTTCTCTATTTCTCGGCATAATGTGTTCCTTTGCCTTCCTCTTTTCCTTTTGCCTTGAGGATTCCATCTGAAGGCTTGTCTTGTGACGCAGTTGGGTGCTTTCCTTTGATTCTCTGGACACAACTATCCTCTGAGATTGTCTATTGAAGGTCATGCCTGAGAAGTTTATTAGCCTCTTGATGGCCTCATATTCAGTCATCTCAGGAAGAGTGGTGTTAGTCTGGTTTTAAAATGTAGTGTCTAAATTGCGTCGGTGAGGGTACTATTCTTCTATGTTTGTGAAACCTTATCTCTCTAAGTTGGAGATAATAGAAAGATTTATATGTTCGGACACTGATGTCTCTGAACGATTGCTAACATTCAGTGGCAACATCATGCTAGTGATGCAGATGTTCGGCAACGTGAGTTTGGGCACAATGAAGGTAATTCAGTTGGTCTCACCATCCCGAAACATCGAATTCGGTGACTTGAACATGTACTATGGATGTTGTCTCAGCGAAGAGGCAGTCAGTACATGATATGGTGTCGCGGTATGAGAGAAAGCTGTATAGGACGGATTCCTGTTGATCTTTCAAGACTGTAATGTTGGAATCTTAGAGATGGTGCAACAGAAACCCAATTGAAGGCAGCGGCCGTCCTGCCTTAACTTTTTTAAAATTTTATTCACATCAGTAATAGAACTTTAACTGAAAGGATTCTGCATAATTGTTCTTTCCTCAACTGGACTTTTTCTCCCACCATTATTTCACTCTCATACACTAATTTCTATCCACTATTTTTTTTGTGCTAACCGTTCTTTCTTTATCACTTAACGATTTCAGTTTTATTGTGTGTTGCATATATATTTTTGCGCCTCCTTGTACCAATATTTGTGTCTTAAAATAAATTAAATAGGTCTTTAAAAGAAGTTCAAAAGAGTTCTCTTTGTTTTTTCTTTGTTACCTTCCTGTAAAATTCTACATTTATATGATTATTACGTAAGTAATCAGCAAGAAATTATGTTCTGCAGTTTTGCAGAAATTTATTGACTACTATCTCAGCAATGTACATATCCTTTTTCTTTTATTTGTTAGGTTGTGAAACGTGGCAAGTTCCGAAACATTCCTGTAGCTGTAAAACAAATGGTCGAAGGAGCCATGAATGAAGATGATTTTATTGAAGAGGCTAAAAATATGAGGTAATTCGTCTTTATTCGACTTCACTTCACATCAAGTCTTCATAACGGATAGTTAACTTCCTGATATCTTAGCTGTGAAGTAGAGTTATGACAGTGAATTCTGATTTTGTCTAAGAAATTTTGCATAAACGATTCTATGATGTCATTAATTCTAATTCGACTTAAACAGTAATTTTAATGAGATACAGCAAGTATTTTATTTAACTACAGAACTTCCTGTATCAGCAAAAATTAAAATAAAATATGTTTTAATTTAAGTATTATTTACTGATTGTTTTTTTTGAAAAACTACATCCTAGATAATCGGATAATTTCGTTGTGTCATATTACAAACCTTTGAAAACATTTGATTAATTGTTCAAACTTGATTTTCAACCATTAGGTTGCACTGTGAATCTCAAGTCATTTGAACTGGCGGTTATTATCACAAACTCCAAGACTTTAGATACACACCTTTTTTTGGGTCTCAATTTTATCTCACTTCAAAAGGATGAAATATTAGCAAAAGATTCTCAAGATGTGTATCTTCATTCTCATTAACTCAGTGGTAGATTTTGTTGTTTATTTGAGTCACCAAACGTTCACTTTTGTATGCTGCCCAGTATAAATATGAACATTAATGCAAATGCAACTCACTTGTTGACGCACTGAGCTTTCAACCCCACGTGTCAGGTTCAGATTTTGGTTAGGCAGCTATCATTATCTTTTACACTTATAATGTAGCTGAACTCTAAGTGAACAAATCTGTACTCTAAAGGAGTTCCCTTTTCCTATATAGACATTATTGGGTTTTACGTATAATAAATATAGATTAATACACTTTAGTTTAATTGCTATTTCACTAGAAAATGATTAACAAGTCTTCATTTACAGTATCTCCAAAAAATAAATTCCTTAGAATTATTGTTAATACTATAACCTAGTAGTAGAAGTAGTAGTAGCTTTGTCTTCTATATGCTAAGCAAAGTCCACCTATTAATTCACAAATGTTTACATAACTGTTCTGATGAGATAATTTACTGATTCTGTAGGTTTGTTGAGATTTTTAAGTAACTTTAATTGTTTTAAACAGATATAAATAAAAGGTAACCTTAATGAAGTTTGATTAATTTTGTATTTCTTATATCGAAAACAATTGAGTGAAAATACTGGATAGTTTTGGTGAAGTTAAAATATTGTTAATCTGAAGGCTTACTGCTTTAAGTTGTTGTTTATCTATAATTACTTACTTTTTCATATTTGATCATAATTTTGAAAGTGTGATTATGACTACGATATTGCTCTTGCTCTGGTTAGCAGGGCCGGGGCCATCGGATTAGAATAGCCTATCGTGTCACCGCATCGTTGATCTTCGTTCCGTTTACCGAGTAAGGTGAACTCGTAATAGTTTCAAGCATAACACAGTCTAAATGTTTGTTTTACTGTTATATAGATTAATAACCTTTAATTATTACATCATAAATAATCTTTGTTATTCATACTGCTTTTTTTTAAGTTTCACTGTATTTCAAAAATATATCACTATCGAAGTTATGCAGTGTATCGTATTGTTTTTCTTTCTCTTTGCTTTCAATCAAAAGTGTTTTTTCATAAAATCATAATAAATTATGATTTAATACTAAATTTGTGCTCTACTGTATTCTGTTTTCATTTTTTCAAACTTCCAATTCTTTATTATATAAACATCATTATATTCCCATGTTTTTCAACACATCCTACACCATTGACTTTAGCATTAACTGCTCTAAGGTGAAAAACCAACCCACTCTCCTCAAGCATAATACATATGAATTTTCTTATGGTGATCACTCTTATAAAATCGATATTTTCATATTATTGTTATTATCATTATTATCATTTTGCGTCGGAACTATGTAAATAGTATGTAAATACACACATACGTACATTATACTATCCTCTTTTCTATTTCTAGATTCCTTAATCATCCAAATCTTGTACAGTTGTTTGGTGTTGTATTGAAAAAGCGTCCAATTATGATTATCACTGAATACATGAAACATGGTAGGTGTCTTATTTGAATGCTGACATTTAATATTCTTTCGATGTGGTTTGTTTTTTCTCTTTCTGTTAGAACGTTTCTTAACAGGCTTCACTAAGTCATATAGAATAATAGGCCAACGTCAATAAAATATTACTTCGATTATAATGATTACAGTGAAAAGTAGCTAGCGTTCTTAGTTGAACTTGTAAAATTTGGATGTTTTTGGCAAATTCGCGATCTTATAGAAAGGGATTTATTTTGTTCTTTTTTTTAAAAAGGAAAGCAATACAAGTGGGGGGCCTCTGATCCCATAAATATATGAATTTGTTTATTATAAGCTGATAGTTAACCGTGACTAAACTGCTAAAACTAGGTATACCCAAGACTGTGTTTACCAAAAACCAATGAAACTTATTCACCTTACTTGGTGGTAATATGTACAGAACAATATTCCAGATAAATTGTTAATTTTTGAGCTAATATGTGTTTATTTGATAGATGATATACTTTCAAGATCTATGGAGTATTTTAATTCATCGAATTAAGTTCATTCATTTAAGTTTAAGGCCACCATATATTTCTCTTGATTGAAACTAGTATATTTGAGTATTTCGATAAATAAAAATGTTTTTACTTAGGGAGTGCAGATGTAGTTGAAAATGTATTTTCAGCTTTTTCTTCACAATGTAGTCTTTAGTGTGATATTCTGACCGTACACAAGGCTGCATCTTTAATTGCTAACGCAAACAAATTTGAGTTAGCATACACTAAGCTCTATTTTATTCAAAATATTTTTATTATAATCACTGCTATTAGTTTACTTTTAAGCTTTATATCCTAAACTAAGTATTTTTAATAGGATTTTCTTTTTTCTCATTATTTGTAAGGTAATACTCCAATATTCACGTGCTTTATTTTCCGATTGTAGATAACATTACTTTTTTTAATCCTTGTCTTTGTCTTATCAACTACGCTATCATAATAGTTAGGCTTATTTATGAGACCAGACGTTAGTAAATCTTTCACAGAGTTACTTATCTTCTGTTGGCTCATTGAGCATCGGATTTCAACTCATTAAAAAGTGAAAATCACTTTTATACAGGGTGTCTAATTGGCTTTAATTCTAGTGTTAAAGTTGATATGATGGAGAAAATTTGAAGCTCAGGTGGATAATTGTGGTGGTGTGGTGTAGTGTTTTTCGCAGACTGAATAGTCTATTTTGTATATAATGTTTGGTTTTCTTTCGTTTATCACTTTGTCCTTTGGTTTAGATAGGATTGGTTTGTTTCCTACACCCATTTCAAATGGTATCAGTAATCGTGCTGTTATTTCAAGTGTCTTTTATATGGGGTAGGATGATCCGTTTATTGGTTCCTGTACTTGATTTCGCTTCTGTTGATAATTTCAGTCGTTATTTTTTGATGAAGTTCAGTGGATAGCCATTCTTCTGAAAGATAGCCATCAGATATTTTTCTTCGTTTTTTGTGCTTCATGTGTGCTGCAGTGTGTTTTCTCTCGCTTGAACAAAGTTTGTATGTAGTTGATTTTGTGAGTTCTTGGGTTATTGCTATTGTAGTTGAGAATTATATCGCAACTACTTGAGTCTTCAGTTTTCCCGTGTTAGTTCTGGTGATTGGTACTTCCAGGGATGATAGTTTGTTGTTTGAATCCTTTTCAATTGCGAATTTTATGTCATCAGAGACAATGTTGATCTGAATCTCGGTGTTTTCCAGCCCGTCCCTGTCAGTTATGACAAATGTGTCGTCTACATAACGATCACTATTAAAATCGAGGCTTCTAGTCTCTGCCTCACGGCTTCTGTGATACGTTCTGTCCCGAACCTATTGGTGTTCCCTTCGTTTGTTTTGTTGTTGAATTGCAAATATATCGCTAAGCACAAATCGATCATTTCTAGGAGACTTAGAGTCTGAAGTTTCGTATATTTTGGGAGATTTGTGTCTTTGGTAAGTAGCTGGAATAGTTTCATTAGCTAGGCTTTACTCTATTGAGGTGAATAAGGTTGTTAGGTCGAAGGATATCACCGATTCGTCGTTGTCGGTTTGAATCTCCTTGAGTTTATCCAAGAATTGTATGGGAGACTTAATGGAGTAGTTGGATGGATCTACCAAATGTTTCAATGTCCTTGAAATTCCTTTTGATAAGTTGTTTGTCGGTTTTCTATGGAGGTATACAATTGGAGGTAGTGGAATGTTGGGTTTGTGTTGTTTCCACCTACTGTCGAATCGTGGGATTACTGGTCCATTAGATTCCTTTCTTTATTGATCTTGTTTTGATATTTGTCCTGCTTTGACATGCTTGTTTAGAGTCCTTCAAATTTGACTGTCTAACGTTTTTTTGGGTTTGTGTCCATTGGTTTACATACGTTTCTTTCCTCAAGTGGTTCCTTCGCCTTCTTGATATATTCTTCCTTGTCCATAAGTACTATAGTGTGTCTTTTGTCCTCTGAGACTATGACAATATATCCCCTGGTTCTGAGTTTCTTTAAGGCTTTTCGTTGTTGTGCTGTTAGTTGGTTCTCTCTTCCATCAAGTTAGTGGTACCATGATTTGTCTTATTTCTTGTTGACTTTCTTCATTGACTTCGGTCGTTTTGTTAAATTACTCTTATCAGTTGAGGGGTAATTTATTATATAAAATAAGTAATTATGTTTAACTTATCGCAACATTATCCGTGCATTCGCTTTTGCCTTTTCGGAAATGAAGCAGCCTAAAGCAGCAGTCCACATAACTAAGTCATTAATTTCAATATTGTAGCAAGATATATTTAAATCCAAGAAGGTAAACAAAAATTAGCTTGTTTGACATAAGTTAGAGAAAATTTGTAGCTGATGTAGATGATAATCGTGGAGTTTTGTTCTTTGAGCTGGATGGTTCGGTTCGATGTCATTCTGAATGTCAAAGTGCTGTCTTACTATTTATATCTTTATATTCTAAAAGTTGAAAATCGCGCTTTTACACTCCAATTGACTTTTTTTGTTGCCTTTATATCAACCGTTTTAGTAATGTGTTATAGTATTTGTCTATCTGGTTGCCTAGTTAACTGTATAATTAGCTTTATTATCTTCTAAATATGTTACGATATCAACTAAGTGTACCAGGAATTTGGGAAGCGATATTAAATTCAAAAGACTGGGTAAACAAAGATAATATATTTTTTCTATCAAATAAAAGTTTATATATATTCATGAACATAATAATACTCGTTTATTGCTTGGTAAATGCTGGTCCTGTTGAGGTTTATCAAATACACTTAATAGTAGCATCTCAGAAACGTATTGTATTCTATTTTATAACCGTATCTGTGGCTCCATTGCTCTTTTACTGACTGTATACAACATGTTTTATGTAGTGTGGTACGTAGTTTACACGAACCAGTAAAACTCGATGTAACACTCGTTTCAAAGGTCAATATTTTCCTTTTGTAATAAATACTAATAAAAATTAGTTTCCTTGAATCTCACTTAGTTTTCAGCAACTTTAACAGATCTATGTTTGGTCTTGCTTTCAAGCATCCATTGGTAAATATTGACTAGATCGTCATGTCCTGAAACGTAGTCGGCATTTTACTGATCTACAGACATCATATGTCTAGATCACTCGAGTAGTTTCATAGTCATATCTGACTTTAGGGCAGGTTTACAAAATATATAATTCCAACTCAGAGAGTTTTGGGTTGTCGTCTGAAATGGTTACAGCAAGCGGTGCCCTCCAAGAAAATTAACTGGCATCATTCTTGTTCAGTTTAATCGTAAGAAATGCTAATGACGATGATTATTGTAGTCTCGACTTTCGAATGCATTCATAGCATTGCTCGTATATACTGGGACCATCGAGTAATCAATAGTGTTGTTAGGAAACGGGCACTAGGTAAGGATGGCAGATCAACTGATGAAGTAGCGAATCTTCATCAGTTGAGCTGGTTGGGACTTGTGTTACGAATGTCCAACCTCTGACTTACTCGATGAGCGATGGTTTTTGATGTAGAAGTAGGCTTGAAGAAAGCTAGGGGTGGCCAGACCAAAACGTGTAACAAATCCATGAAGTCACTGACAACTTGACTGAGCCATGTTTATGAGTGTGGGCTACATGGTTGGGGTCCATGAGATGATATTAACCGATAGTTAGAAACTTTGAATGACATGTCAAAATTGTTTGTAGTGGCGCAGGTGCATCCATTCTTTGTCTTCTTCCAAATTCTAATCTTCTGGATTCCTCATTACGTTTTTTCTCTGTTTTTATTGATTCCTTCCGAATCATGTCTTCGATCAATAATCTTTTTGAATACTGTTTACCTCTACTACTATGAGATTTGAATTGACGATTGCGTCTCTGTGCTAATGTGATATGACATGTTAAACTGATGTAAGTACGTATGAAGTTCTACATCGTAGCCTACTGGCTGACTTACTTTCGAATTGATCTCCTGAGTAGAGATCCTCTAATCAACGTAGGTTTTGTGGACAATACCTCGACACAGGAAATCAACTCACTGACTATTGATCTACATTGTATTCTGTGGTGTAAACGTTCCAAGTGAGATTTTCGAGACAGTTTGATATTATTTAGACCTTAAATGATTTGACTCGAAATTACTCACAATGATATAAATATATATGTATCTTGTTATCTTCTAATCTATGATCACCTGATTGTCATACGTTTTTATTACTGTTTCTTATCCCACTATCTATTAATTTCTTTTTGTCTTCCCCCGGTGACATGCAAAGTTGAACAGCTCGAATCTCTCTGCTGGTATACTTTATTCAACTTTTATATATTTGTTTAGCTCTACTACTACTAAAAAGATATGTATGAGATCAAATGCTTTAGTTTCAAAAACAAACACCTAGATGTTCTTCCCCACTAGTCTTAAACAGGATAGAAACTTTCGCAGTACTGTTATATTTTCCTAATCGCCAAATATGATGAACTGTCTTTACTCTATTGTATTACCATCGTTCATTTTCTTAACGTTATACGTCACTGTTAGCTCCATATTGAGCCATGTACTTATAGATCTAGGGTTCCCAGGGATTTTCAATTTCAATTGTTTTTTTCCTCGCTGATTCCAGTTAATAATGAAAATAATATTTATATTCTAACTCCATAAATAATCATGTTAGTGGGTTCCAAGATGAATTTTTTCATTGTACCACTACGTGCAATGAATTTGGTTAGATTTGGAGCAATTACTCATCAAATGACGCAAAAAGAGATTGGTGGTTTTGTTCATATGAACGGATCGTAAACTTTGAGATTATTGATCAGTACCAAGCTGAAACGAAATTGTTATCCAGGGATATCAAATCTTAGTGGCAAATACTTTCGAAATACTCGTTAATAAAGTATAGTATATTCGTTGGTCAACTCGATCATCTTGTTATTGATTCTTGAATATTCATTTGTCTAATTAATCAAAATTTGATCTTTTTCTGTTGTCGCAACTTTATCCACTAATTCTTATTTAAATGTATCATGCAATACTTCTTATTTCTTCACCGTTAAAAATTGTTTACTTCACTTTATGGTTGTATTTTTTGGTGTTAGTTTTGTGTTATTGATTATTTTCCTGGTTATTAACAAGACCTTTATTCAACTGTCTACGCATTACAAATCTAGTTAATTGAAAATCTAGAGTAATTTTTCAACAAAAAAACTAATACCAAATAGTTTCATTCTATTTCTGAATACCTTCATAATTTTCCACCAGCCTAATTGTTAAAACATCAGCCAGAAATGATAACATCAATGTGTTACTTCTTTTTTTAAAAAAAATATCAGATATATATATATATATATATATATATATATATATATATACTAGCTTTTAGCCTACTCATTATTGTTTTTATTGCTCACTAGGTAGCTCTGCTATAGTTGTTTTTTTTACTGTTGATAAAATGACAGATAAAGTATTTACAAAAAATGATGATTACTTTTATTTTTATCTCATGAGACATTTCAAAAGTCCATCTTTTCTATGAAACGTATTGAGCCTGCAATTGTATTTAGTTGCGATGCTATTACTAAAGTTACCGAATCTATGCACCTCAGAAAATGCTACTTTTGAAAATATTTTTCTTTAGCGATATGAAACCTAAAATAATTTATACTGTATTCACTAAATTCCCCACAAGTAAATAATTCTCCTGATGTTTAACCTGTTTTAATCAAAATGCAGATATTTTTCTATTAAATATGCACCGGTGCTTATCACATTTTTATGTGAAAGTTTTGTTAAGAATGTGTGTAACTGAAAAATAATTCATTGGCAATAAGTTCCGATTTTGAAAATTTTTTGTAGAGTGGTACATGAATGATGATTACAATAACAGTGGCACTGCTCGAAAATTTATTCGATGAAGTGGTTATGTATAGGTCTCTGCTATTTTAATAAAGTGTGGAGATACATTAAAACCAGGCAGCACTGTTGTATCTTAATTTGTGGCTTTGCAGCCCTGGGCACATACAGCCTCATACGGTGTTACAATTCTCCCTTTATTACAACCTAGCTATTCCTAATGCTTAATGTTCTCGGACACCAATTCACTCGAGACGTTCTCCCAAATCGGAACACGGTTGAACACGAATTAGATTATATTCCAATGACAAGGTTTGATGGAAGGCCAAAACATCGGTATACTTATGGTTTTTACACGAGAATGTTCTAGAATGTTCTCTCAGTATCGGCTAGTTCTGATTGGATACGATAGAGCTAATCAGCGTGCTACAACGCAATCATGCTTTAATCCAGTCTATGTTGCTCTAACACACAGTATCAGCTCTATGGTTCTCAGGTAGTAAAGTGAACATTACAATGTTAAACTACCATAATTAATTTAACAATCAATATTCCAACTTCAATCGACTCATAATATGTCATGTGCTCTAAATCGCTTATCGCTTCACTGGTAAGATGTCTAAAATTAGGACGAAATATCTCTTCAAATTCTGTTAGTTCAAAATCCTACAATATTTATTATACTGTAACTTCATTATAGTTAAATCTAATATTTCCTAATCAAATAAACATAATCTCGTTAAATATCTTAATTTTTTCTTGTCTGCAAATGTTTTACTTCTGCTTCATTGCTTTCTGTTTTATTAAATTACCAAACATTAATGTTTATTAATTGCAACCTGTTCAATTGTAAATATCGTATCGGAGTTTACTAATTAACTTTCTGTTGAATACTGATATATATGTTTATTTAAAATGCTTACGGAAAAATACCGTCATGCATCCGTCCTAGCAGATTTGATGGATGTTCAATAAAAAATAAACCATTTGAAATTGTTTTCTTTTCATAAGAAAGGTAATATATATATGTATATATATATATGCACCACCACGGTTGCGCGACGATAACGATAATATTGATAAAAGTAATTATGATCGTGACCAGAATCTGTGAATTGTTAATCTAACTGAGGAAAGGTCATAGTCTGATTAGCACACATTGTGTGATTGACTTAGGTTAATGACTGAGAGTTCAAATTTTGATTGAAATAAAATTAAAAGTTTCAGCAATTTTTACTTCCTTCACTGAATCTTTGCCTAATAAGTTCATCAATGGATTTTTATCAAGTGGACTATTGATGATTATAATATGGAGAAAGTTAATTTCATTAGTCAAATAAGCAGGTCATAACAGAATAGCTGTGACTTAATAATTAAGAACCAAATAAAATGATAAAACTGAAAGCATAATCAGGATAAGAAAATTCCGCTCTCCCTCTTGAAATGCTTTCATATGGCTATACGAATATAGCTACTGACAGGGAAGTGCTACCTACTGTTTCATTGTAGGGGCGTCGTGTGTGAAATTATAAGACAAAAAGCGAATACCCAGAGTTTTGATCAATCAGGTTGCTGTGTACAGAAGGTCCACATAAAGAAACTGGAGAACCCTAATACTCGACCAATGATGAGCATGGGTTTCAGTATCCTGAGGGAAAAAATGGCATATGAACCTACTGTTGTTCACCGGTCACTAAGGGACTGCATCTCTTAACGTTGCTTCACTGTCTTGTGGATCAGCAGACTGTTAGATTCAAGGTTCATCGACTTGCCTCCCAAGAAAACCTCCTGTTTCGGTTTGAACAGCTAGACAGTATCCTAACCCACATATATATTCAGTGACTTGTCAGGCGCACATATACTTTTGTACTCATTTGTACTGATGCAGTATAATCTAGCGATGTTCATCGAGGATACTTCTCACTCTTTGCCTAACTGAACATTATATGATGATGAGGAATGACAGTGGCCTGTAAGATATTTCTTTTGCATTGATAAGAAAACTGATATGAATCTATATACTCGTTTACACAGGTTAAAGTGGGTGTAGCGGTGGCTTTTCGATTGTTGTGAGAGAAGGCAAAGTTTTTGCCATAGGTCTAAACTTTGCATTCTTATCTCCAGTTACTTTTTGTTTGTGTTGAGATTATCTTAATCTTCCTTCACATTTCCAATATAAAATTAGTCGAGAAGGATTAATTGAAGATGCTTGTGAATTGATGAAATAGCACGTCAGCACATTTCTTTACAATGAGGTTTGAGATTTAGTTAGGTCCTAAGCACTGGAACAAGTTAAGTGACGAGATATTTTCGGGTATCAGTTTCGTATGCACACAATTCTTCTTCAGACTTCCGAGTATAGGAAGCATGACATCGGCCTATGGACGTAAAAAACTTATGTAAGTTCTAACTCGACCGTAGCTGCCACCTTGACGTGGTAGTCGGGCTTGCCCATTGTGACAGCCCAACCGAGCTATATTGGCCGAAGCATATGTTCCTTTATGTCCTACCATGCCAGACAGGTCGACTGGAGAACGGTAAGACTAAAAGCAGCAACTCAAGTTTTGAAGGCGAAGTCGTACTACTGCTGACTGGAGAAGGGTGTGACAGTAGTAATGTGTAATCCTCAGACAACAAGCATCTGAATTGATGCTGCTAATCCAGACTTATCAAAGAAACTGGTTTCAGAAATCTGACTGTTGGTGAGAATATCTCGGAAAAGGATGGGTTTATTTTTCGTTCTCAATCCAGGAGATTGGATCGATGGACAGAACACTTTAGGCAGCAGTTTAACTAGCCTTCAGCCACGCTTTGGTTACTCGCGATCTCCAGTCAACCTGATTTGCGAATTGATGTCAGTCCTCCAACCCCTAATGGAATTCAAAAAAGCTGTAGGGAATCTAAGGCTCGTAGAGCAGCGAATCGCGATAGATTGACTCTTGAGATACGTCCATTTTTTGTCTTCTCTCAAATTTTGATCTTCTGAATTCCTCATCACCTTTCGCCTCATTTTAAATTTATTTCACTGAGATTTAATTCTCGAATAATACCTTCCGTTCCTAATCTTCTCGATTACGACCTATAAAAACAGTATAGATTAAGATAATTCTCAAGTAGGATTTTGATTTTGAGAAATGAGTAGATAACTTAAAACATAAGCATAATTCCAATGACTATATCCAACTTTTTCATCAACTATACTTCATTCACATCCTATAGTCCAAATTATAATTTACGAATTCTATAACGTTCGTTATACTCATCTGTTCTGATGATAAGTTGGATAAACATATGTATGAAAGAATATTATTATTAATACGTGTACATCAGCTGTTATACAGAGACAAATATGTAGGAGTTTAATTATATGTATTAATAGTGTATAATTATCAGTTTTTTTTGTAAATAATATTGAACGTCTAATAGGTTCTGATGCTTTCTAAATTGAGTAGCACAACATGAAGTTTCATAGCAAGTCAGTTATCTATCTTCGACTCCTTTAAAAATATACAAGTAAAACGTTTTGATTAGGCTTCCGGTTATTTCTATTATTCTCAGTTTTTAAACATTGTATGTAGCTGTTTACTTTATCCACACAAAAATCCATTTTTCTTAAACCCAGGTTCTCTACGGGATTTTATGCGACAACGCCAGCCACAGTTTTGCAATCGACCAGTTGTGATGTCTGATATTTGTGCTCAAGTGGCAAATGGAATGGCCTACTTAGAACAAGAACAGTTTGTACATCGAGATTTAGCTGCACGGAACTGTTTAGTGAAATCAATAAGCCAAAATTCAGTTCATGTTAAGGTAGCTGATTTCGGTATGGCACGTTTCTTGCTAGATAATGTTTATGAACCAAGCGCTGGAACGAAATTCCCTGTTCGTTGGGCACCACCTGAAGTATTTCAATCTACTTATACAGCTAAAGCAGATGTATGGAGTTTCGGTAAGAGTTAATAGTGTTATTGAATATTTATTCAATTAATGATATAAAGTGCTTTACTTTTTTATTCACAAATTTATGTAATTTGTTACTTCTTACATCAATTTACAAAAATATAAAAAAAAACTACATGAACCCAAAGCAACTACCGAAATTACTACACTGAAGCTTTTATTTTTATTATTATTATTATCATGGAAAATAAATGAACATCATGTATATGTTTGTATGTAGTTTAGTAATGATCTAAAGAATCGATTACATTCACTTTAAGCAGTCGGTTTTAACTTACTGTATAAGAAAGCTTTTACTTAAAGCTTTTATTAGGTCAACTTTTAATCGAAATATCTATAAAATTTATTAAAATTATTTTAAATTGATTTTAATCCCGTTTACATCTCAAGTGTACCTATTTTTCAATCATATGAGATTATGCATATGTTTCACTGATAACTACCTAAAAAGACGTTTTCTTTATTGTTGTCAGTATTCAAAAATCTCAACAATATGCTTCCTTTTTGGCTTTCTCGATTCCAGATCATAATATATTCTGTAGGAAATTTTCAAACTACTATATTTCGAGTTTCCACGAAAATTAAATAAAGCATCAGTTTCGACGTATTCTTCATGTTTTTTTTCTTCTCACTGCTTAACTTTTTATTTTCTTTTTCAGCTGATAATTTTTTATCACCTCGCTATTTAATAAATCGACATAACATTGTCCTAATTCTTTACCGTACATTATCTTGTTTGATCTGAAAAAATAATTTGGTATTCAATAATTTGTGTATTTTATGTACATACCTGATTGTTAGCTTCCAGTTTTGGTGAAAATATGTTTCGGCAAAACTCCGGCAATCCGTTTTATTGACAGTACTTTTTTCAGGTTTAGTTTACCTCTATTTGCATGTACACTACATCATAACTCTTCTTCACTTGACCGATCGAACTTTAGTAGATACTTGATAATTCCAATCAGTGATTGGAGACTTTAGACGATTTGGTTAAAAATGGGTTACATCGGCACAGGTACATTTATTTATTCTAGATATTAGATTTCAGCATTCATATTCACATTTCTCAATTTCCACACATTTATTTGATAAATTGAATGACGTAACAATTATTGCTTGACTGGTAAAACAAAATATGAAAACGGTTTAGTAAGAGTACTAAAAGTATAAAATATCTAACCGTAAGGTAGGCTTTGATTTCTTTTTTTTATATCTATAAATATTCGAAACCAATTATTTTGGTATTGGGAGTTGCCTGCCTTAAAATGATGGATTGTATATTAGGTCTTATAGAGAAAAACTGAAAGAACGTCTCCAACGTTTTCAAACTTCAAACTATGTCTTCCCTTGATAACTTCCCAACTAATGATTCCAAATAACTATACATACCAGTTAATTTATCTAACATTATTTATTGATCAGTCAGATTTTCATCACCTGCTTTTTTTATCTGAAACTTTTACGGTAAAGTCAACATTACTTTCTTGATTTTGTTAATATTTTTCTCTTATAAAACCCTATTTAATTCACCAATCATGATATACACACGCATACGCACAATAGCAAACGGATTGTTGTGTATGTGTCTGTATGTTTATATATAACTGTCCAATGATGCTTGTATAACTGGTGAAAGATATTTCCCATGTTTGTTTCTTTGTCGTTACTATCATTATTTTGAATTGAATTGGAATCACTTTTGCTTCTTCTTTTACTCTGTCCTCTTCTCCATATGTGTGCTTTTTGTTCAGTCTGAACTGAAATGAATTGTTTTCCCACAATATCAACATCTGTCTTTTTATTTGTATGTATACTACATAAGGAGTTGACTAATATGGTTAAACATTGTGTTAATTTATGTTCAATTAACGACTTCTTCAGCTGTCTAACACACTTACTGCTGACTTATAAACAAGATAGAAAAATAATAATCATCAATGAAATGGGTTGTTTTTTTTGGTGAACATATTAAGTATGCTAGAACAAGAACTTTAAAATTCCGATTGTATATCGTTAAAAATGTAAAGGTTTTCCATTTTGAGTGATTGGCACAAAACTATATGATGCATATAACTTGTTTTAAAGAAATTCCTTATTACTGTTTCTTTTGGTGTGGTTGTTTTAAAAAGCCTAAATTCGAATTAATTTACTCACCGGGTACTTAGGTTATGGGCTACACTCATTGCAAGGACTTACGATACTACCCCGTTTATCCAAACCGATGTAAGTGGAGTTGAGGCTGAAACTTAGAAGCCAAAAGTCTAACACTTTATCCATCAAGCCACCGCTTAGCGATTTTGATCTATTATTCACACCCTCCTTTGTAATTCTTAAAAAGTAGTGTTTATATTAGTTTGTTACTACAATTTTGATATATTATTTGGTGACGATGAATACATTCCTGTTAATTAAGTTTAAGTTCTTGTATAAAATAGCTTGAGAGGAATTACTATTCTAAATCATTAAAATAATTTTGGAAATTTTTTGACAATCGAATGATTCTTTGAGCGAAAAAAGTATTCAGCTGGATATATTGAGCACATATTTCGATAACATTTAAACCAATCACGATATTTTTAATACTTATGGCCATACTTTCAAAATTTATGGTCAGGACTAATGAAAAAAACCACTATTGTTTTTGGGACTCATAAATAATCACATACCGATTGTGATAATTTAAGTGTTCAACATGGCATACATTTAGTATATGGGAATGAAAATAAAATCTGATTCTTCACTAGGCATGGACAAACAGGCACAGCCTACTGGCTATTAAATATGTGGTTTTCTTTCCTGTAATTGATCTCTACTGCAGGCTCATTGAGTATGTCTGATTGTATTTGTGTGGAACAAAATATTGTCTATCACTGACTCTGGATTTCTGCTTCGTCCATGTATCTGGTTTAGTGTCATCTAGTCTCTATTTCGTATCTATTTCAGTGATAGTATAAACTTGGTCACCCGGTTTCACCGTGTTGTCGTAGTAATACCGTGGGAAGAAAAATATTTATTGTCACCGTCATAACACAATTATACCTTGAATTTATTTTAATATCTTCGCAAAAATTTTCTATAGAAATATAATTTATAGTTTATCGTTTTCACGTTAATCATATTCTATCAATAACTTCTGTCAGTATTCAACAGATCTCTTTCATTATAGTTAAACATCATAAAAGGTCCTGATGAAATATTTCACAGCAATAAATTGTTTCTCATTTACAATCCAAATGATCACGTGCAAAGCAAAGTTGATTCTTGCTAGCTGATTGTCTTTCTCATCATCCAGCTGCATCATTAAATGTCATCTGAATTGCATGATGCATCTCTGTTCATTCTTATTATTTATGTCAATTTTACTTTGTTAGAATTCGCTTCATAATTTTATTTCGAACACTATTCTGTATTATCGTATTTGGTTTCGATTTTAACTAGGTGTACTCATGTGGGAAGTGTTTACCTGTTGTTCAGAAAATCCTTATCAAGGCATGAACAACACACAAGTGTATCAGTACATTGTCGGTGGTGGTCGATTGCATAAACCTGCTGTATGCCCCGAAAGAATTTATGTTTTAATGCTTGAGTGCTGGCAACATGTAAGTTGTAAAATACTATCATTATATCATTTAAATAATAAGTCAATCCGTTAGCTGTAACGCAGAACTTTGTACGTACATACATTATTTCAAGTTGTCATACCACATTAGCACACAGAGATCGAACTGTCAATTCAAATCCCATAGTAGTAGAGGTAGTAGAAGTAATAGCGGTGATCGGAAAGACTAGGGTTTGAAGATATCGTTCAAGCATAACCCAGTGAAATAAATTTGTAAAGAGAAAAAAAAGGTCCTGTGCTCATCAGAGAAGTCAAAGAATTCATGCATCTGTACAAACCGTGTTGAGCCATGTAGTTCAAGGTCTCTAACCATCGGTTACTACGATCTCGCGGACTACAACCACGTAGTCTACACCTGCGAACATGATTCAGTCAAGTTGTCAGTGACTTCATAGATTTGTGCCATATTTTGGTCTGGCCACCCCTAGCTTTCTTCAAGCCTACCCTTATATCACAAAACCATCGCTCGTCGAGACAGTCAGAGGTTAGGCATCCGTAACACATGTCCCAACGAGCTCAACTGATGAAGATTCACTACTTCATCAATTGATCTGCCATCCTTACCTAGTGCCCTTTTTCTAAACCCAGCATTATTTATTCGGTAGTCTATGGGTATACGGGAAAGTTTCTTTTTGAAAAACGAACTTCCGTCCATAACCTATTGGGTTTAGGTTTTTGTTTGTATAAAGAAGTTGAATAAAAATTTTAACCCTAATATTCTTTTATACTATTGAATAATTTAATGCATTTGCTGAGCCATGCGTTACTGACATCATCATCTGTTGTTTTTAGATTATTTGCTTTAACGTTTTGGCATTTATTTATGGAGTATACCGTTGAAGAAAATATATTCTTACTACAAATTAACATTGTGACGTAGCACATGTGCTAACATTTGACTGTAAAAGTATTGTCAAAGAAACTGGTAACAATGCATATCTTACGGCCTTCAATAAGTTTGAACATGCAAATTAGATTTAAGAGGAGATTTTCTTAGTATACGATGTTCTTATTAAATTACTTAATATTCACTTTCGAAAACGTATTTTATGTTTAAAACCAGTAATTTTGTAGTGGTCATTGGTTGCCTAACCTTGATCGATTCGTGATTGCAATAATTAAAAAATCTCATTGGTGAACAAATTTTCATTACATCAATATTATCATACAATTTACTCATCAAATCGTATTTTCATCATTTAATGGTTTGTTTTTATTACTTTATTCTTGTTTTTAAAGGATCCTAGTAAGAGACCAGCATTTGAATATATTTGTCAAAAAATTAGCGGATATCTGGATCAAAACTGTGAGAATTGACCTACTAGTTATGTAAACAATTATCGTGATTTTTATGTGGATAGAGTTTTGTTTATTGGACGAAATAACTCTTGGAATTTGTATTGTTAATTCTGCAGAGTTAGAATAAAATACATTAAGAGAATGTTTCACATATTTCAACAATTTATCTAAAAAGAAGGAGCAATCTGTATGAAAGTCCACGGCAAAAATCATGATGAGTATATAACAAATTATGGTTCAACCAACTAAATTTATCTTCAAAGTTCATACCATGACAACTTCTAACCCATATGTGTGTGAGTGCCAAGCATTTCGTTTAATTATTACTTATTCACTGTGGTGTTTAATTATTTTTTTGTTTTTTGTGCTTGTATCTCTTGGAATTTAGTCTTTTTTTAGTGTTTCGATGCGTTTATAATTCCTTTCCTGTATAGAGTCAGTCATGTACATCACTTTGTTCATGTCACTTAAATTATCCCCATCACAGTTTAGCTTCTTTTTCAATTTTGTCAAAAATAATTCCGGTGCTATTTTTACTTATTCTTTCTGAGAAATGACAAAATTCTCCTTCAGAAATTGTACTAATCGATTTTGAACTCTTCCATGTTGAATAAAATGATGTGTAGTGTATTGCTTTTCTTTTTCCGATGTCTCAATATATACATTATTGCGTATTCTTTTGTTTCTTTTCATGTTGTCTCTATTCTTAGTTATTATTATTACTATTATTATTATTATTATCGTTGTTACTGCGCAACATTTTTTCTTATTTTCAATCAAATAATAATCTATTTTTTAAAGAATCATGTATGTTATTGTTTCTTTTCACAATTTATGATACTTCAGCGTTTTGTATAGCTTTTGCTACAAATGTATTCTTGTATAACAATTATCACAGATTATGCGAGCTAGCAAAACTGTTCTCTACGTCTTCTCTTCTCTCTCTCTCTCCATATATATATATATAAACACTTGTATTTATCATGTATAGTGATTGCCAAACAAATATCAGTATAAATACTTCTGACATTACCTCCACGATTTGAAAAAGACTTTTAATGAGTAAACTTATTATTTTTTTTGTTTTGTTTTTCAATTCTCATTTTCCTCCCATAATTGTTTACATTTTCACTTGGCCTATATTTCTATTTAATAAACATATTCATCTAACTAAAAAACTGTATTATTTCTCTGTTATTTTATCACATCGATGTTTATACAGTTTATATTTATTATTATTGAAATAATAATAATAATTAATTGTTGATCATTGTTGTGTGTAAAACATGGTTTCTATCGAATTATGGCCTCAAGTTATCTGTCTCTCTTGAAAATATAATATTCAGTCTTGATTGCTGTAACACCTAATTACTATTTCAGTTATCCAAAATAACGTAGATATCATACACAATGTCTATCACGGTAAACGATCTTGTCAAAAAAAGATCCGATCAGCAACTAGCTATAATAATTATATTTTCATTGTCAAAACTCAATGCTATCTAGTTTTCATAGATAAGAATAATTTAACGAACTAATATAGTTTCCAAAGAGAATTCTAAAATTCTGTTCTAAATCAAATATGTATTTTTCTCCCTGAAATAAATCCCTTTGAACTTGTTAATCATCTACCTGATGATTATTTATTCACTACTCATTCAACACACTTAAAAATACAACTGAATTTTTAAATGACTATGATTATCGTTGTAACTCTGAAAAATAAATATCGGATATAAAGTTAAAAAGCCATACTTTGGAATAACTGCAAAAACAGGAATTCGTAATTATGTGACTTATCAGTATGAGACTTTCTCACGACAATGCCTTGGTATTTACAATTGGCAAAATGGTTAAAACCCGGTATTCTTTTTCAGTTTTTGCGTATAACAAGTCATTTGCTAGTAGGGTTCACTCTAACCTTTTTTTACATGTGAGTTGTCAATATCTACAAAGTAAAAATTAAAGGGTGTTTAGATCCATGCTACATATTTGGTCCATATTATCAAGATGGTCACATCATAGGTAGTTAAGTTCACGTTTAATTAGTTTTCTCTTTATGATGTCAGTTTTCTCATTACATCAAAATGTTACAGTACCATTTTGAGTTTATTTAAATTCCGCAAATACATCATGGTGCTTTTTTCTTTACTCACTACTCATGATTGTGATTTTTTTAATTGATTTTCTACAAAGAATACCATGTCTGTGAGTTTATCAGCATTAACAATACTTGATGTTTCTTCATCACAAATTTGTAGCAGTCCACCGATTTTATATGGCTCTCAGTCAAAAAATACCTGTGATAACATCTTTTAATCCTTCTCTTCCGATTTTTGAACGTACATTGTGATGCGTAATGTCGAGATGTAAATGCGATAAGTTCTGACTCCCAAATGGTTACTTAAGCGGAAAGGCGAAGAGAAATTCTATACAGTATGTGTTCACTTTCGTAGTAAAGGAACCATTCCTTAACTGATGATAAACATTCGTCCTTTAGGACATTTTCTGATTGTCATTCAATGGCCTTTTCGTCAGGTCACTTCTCATTCGCTCAGTATGTCAATTTCATCCCAAAAGTTTCTTAATATGAAATAAATTAAATGTATAACATGCAAAAGCTTTTAATCTGAGATTTTGACCGACAAATAGTCGATAATCACTCATGGTTTTGAACGTCTTGATGATGAACGAATTACTAACTTGATGTATTGTAGTCTGATGGAACAAACCATAATACTTGTAAATATCGATAAATAACTATGATATAATAATGACGTATGGGATAATTATTCTATGAAGAAACCTACCAAATTATACTTACAAGCGCTATGATTAAGAAACGAATGTTGTGTATTCTTAGTTTCTAAAGTACAGAATGATTATTTATTCTATAGACCATTTATTATTTATTTCATCAACGGTCTAAGAAAACTATCATATCTCTGACCACTGTAGAATAATACACTTGGACTACACATTAAGAATAAAATAAGTTAGTTTCAAAGTATTGAAAGATTGTTTTTGGTCAACTATTTATCAGAGTACAGATTTTACATTAATTGATTCATATCCAGTTATTGTGATGTGACTGTCTACAAGTTTATAAAATTACCAAATTTAGTAACTAGACTGACTAAATCTTCTGTTCTTCGGACACTTGACTAGTCCGCGAAACCAGAACACAGCCTGGACAGTACGCAATTACATTCCAAATAAACCAAGTTGAGTTACAGTGAATTACAGTAAGGAAAGGCGTAGTATAATTATATTATTTTACACATGAAGATTTTAGAGTCTTCTTCAATTATCCTCTAGCATTAACTGCCTTGGAATGGGTCAGTCAGCGCTCCCCAATATGATTTAATCTATCCTGATAAAGTGATACTATTTTTAGCTACAAGAACTAAAGGCGATCAGGTTTCGAAAACCTTGTCGATAATTATTACGACTTCACTATTTTATAACCAAGTAGTTCATCTTATTGAGAGAAACAAATTTACACTCTCGTAATTCTTGTTATAATAACACGAATTTTCTACATAAAATATTCGTCTACTATCTATCTGAGGAACATTTTAGTTACACACAAATACTGGTTCTTATCATATTTTTTTTGTACTTTTAATAAATTTCTATTATCATCTGCCTTAAGTTTGCAGATGTAAAATGTTTTCAATTACACACTCTATGAAACATTGCAGGTGTTAAGAAATTGTAACTTGTACCTACAACTAATCCTATCAAGAAAGTTGATCAATATACGATTTTTTTATATTATCTATAATAAACTTTATGAGATAAGTATCTATTCATTATACTATTAGAACAACAAAAAATCGTTTTTAAACTACATAGTTATCTTTCATGTTATTTTGTACTAAACTGACAATACTCCTTATACCCACTTACAGATAAATTCAAATACAAACCTGTATAATTTTAAAATAAAAAAAAGACTAAGCAATTAAACTCGTCATGAATTTCCATTACTTTCCAGTGCCTAGATATTGAATTGAAATATTGACTTCTTATTTCTTTATTCATTTTTATTTAACAAGAACACAGCGCAAAGTTTATGCATTCACTTGTACACATAGTCAATAAAATAAAATCGAAAAGTTAGATATGCCCAGTAGTGTTATCACCATGTTGTTACTTTAAATTGATAATTGGTTGATAAGCCTATTTCAGATAGTCCAGATGACTCATCATAATATGCAAAATATAAAATGTTCTGATTATTAATTAAACCAATGGTATGCATTAATTTTGACGTAGGCAAATTACTATTTTTTTATTTTTCTACTTCCTTATTCATCAATTGACTCTTAATAGATGATTTTAAATTTTTCATAATGTCCATCTTGATATTATTATGTCTATGTGTGTCTTGTTTTCCTCTTTTGTATATTTGTTTAAATTATTCATTTTCTAAATTCATATACGTTCGTACGCATTGTTTGTGCAAAAAGACTGGGATGTACGCAAATATTATATGTTTGTTGTTTCTGTGAGATTTCAGATGGGTTACTATATATATATATATATATATATATATATATATATATATATATAAACAAAATAATGAAATAATTTATTGAAACAAATTCACATTACGTATGGTAATTTTTGAAAGAAAAGAGACTATAAACAAGACTGAATATATGTTAATTTTCAATGTGCGGAAATCAATAAGGAGTCACTAATTTTTTTTTAACTAATCAAATATGCACACGTTTTTACATGTAATCTATATTACAATACTTCGCTTTTTTTTTCAGACACTTTCTACTATGAAGAGCAAATCTACTCATCGTTATGATTTTAAATATTTTGTAACTTTTCAAGGAAATAAGAGAATAAAATTCTTTGAAAAGCATAGCATGTCAAATCAATAACAATTCATGAAAAAATGTTTGTTGGTTAAGATCATTTTATGTTTAAAATTGATAATATTTTTTTGATAACTGAGATAAGTTAGATTCAGTAAAACATGAATTATGATATATCATGTATGAGAATCTTCGTTTATAAATGAACGAATAGTTTCCGATTAGTTGAGTACTGAGGAAAAGGAAATAAATTTTGGAATTGCAAACAATTACAAAGTAAATTCAAATACTCCATGACTACTATGCGTTTGAAAGAAGACAAATTATTGACAAGTTTTAATGTTTCCCCATCGTTCCTACTTTTCACTTTATTCAGTTTCCGATGAGACTTATACAGCAAAGCAGAAGGTTCGACTATGGAGTCACTGTTTCCTTAAACTTTTACGTATTAGTGCTTATATTGGAAATAGCTACCCTCCTCTGAAAGTGTCTCCATCTACAAAAATCTTGTTGAGTTACAAAGATGATATGTTTGTCCTTGTAAAACAAGATGAATTCGACAGCATAAAAAAAAATCGTCAACAGCATATTTGGTGATATCAAGTTTATTAACGAGGTCGAATCCGCTGACAAACTGCCATTTACTGACCGTATATTTGAACAGTTAGCACATGACTTTTTTACAATGGTGAAAGTTACAAAAAATCTTATGAACAAAATTCAGAATCTCATCATTGAATTGGATAACAGTGAATTGAATTATGTCCATGTTAATGAAGAATAATTATTATATGAACTTTTTAAAAAGAATGATTAAGAAGCTGAAAAACATAAGAGAAAAGAAACTAGAAACAATAGGCTAACACAATGATCACAAACCAGCTTCAGAAGAAATCAAAAAACTTCAAAACTGTCACAGTACAAGAGTGTCTTTTCAAACGAACAGTATTCCTAAGTCTAAACTAGTAAGAATGAAAAACTTACTAGCAAAAGAACAATCTTATTGAATCTATGCTGTGAAACATAATGACTGTAATGCTGTAAATGTGGATAAGATATCACGGTAGTTAAATGTAACGGTGGAAATGAACACAAACTTTGCTTCAAGCATCTATCTAAACCCACAGAAAACCCAAAAAAACTGGGGCAAAGCCGGTGAATCTGAAGATACAAATGACTTTAATGTCACAACAATCATTCGAAAAAATTTTCTTTCGTACAAAGTGAGACTGACTGTCCCACATACAGAAAATTTTGGGAGATGGAATACAATTAGCTGTCTAATGATAACTATTAATTAATAAGTTAATCCAAATTTAATCTTACAGTTTTTATTTGATCTCTTAGCCTGTGGTCGACACCGATTACTTTCATTTGGTTTA